TTGGCAACTCTTCATTACGCCAAAGATTCCTTATAAAATCAATTCCTTATCAGTCTTTTTGTGTCATTGATTCCTAGCACAGCCCGGGCCCCCTTTCCTAACTTTTTAGGACGGCACCCCTGGCTAGACAGCTAGATAAACTTTGGGTTATAGGCAGGGGCGGACTGGCTAATTTTTTTGGCCCGGGCAAATTTTTATCAAACCGGCCCACAATAATAGCAAATAAAAAGCTCCTCGGAAAATGCAAGTAAACGTTAGTCTGTAAGGAAAACAAGTTTTAAATTCAGTAATTTTGTGCATGGATGAATGCTGGTTAACAGAATATGGTTAACAGAACTTGTTAAATATGTCATTTGCTGACTAAAGAGTAAAGACCCTGCTGTTTTTGTGACGTTTGTGGCTTTTGCTTGAAAAAAAGCTTTGTATCGTAGCTGAATCCTTTTTTAAGTCTCGCAGCTTTTCCTCACGAAATTTCTGTGCACCACCTTTGGTTGGAGTCTTCTTGCTCTTCCCTTGTTCTACGTATGTCCTCTTCATTGCTTCACAACACAGAGGAAATCGTTCAGTGAACTCTAATTTTTGTACTTTTAAATTTATTACATTCAGCAATAGCTTGTGCTAAGGCAAAAACATGACCAGCTTAGACATCAGGGCAGGTTAAAATCTTATGTATCGCATTGAAGCAGGTGTGTTACAGTACAGTATATGTCGCCAAAAGGAAACACTGTCAAGAGAAAATATAACAAGATGTCAATCAGGGCCTCCGACGAAGGGGGGGGGGGAGCGGGGGCCTTGGCCCCCCCCACTTTTTTGCAAAACAATAGAGTTTTTTTCAAAATCTTTTGTTATGGGTGTTAAATTTTCCCTTGGCCTCCCACTATCCAACCCTTTGTCGGAGCCCATGTCAATAAATGTATATTTATTCTTTCCCACAAAGTCTCTGAAAATTCAAGGCAAACAAATCAACGCGTGGGTATACTTTTTTGCTTCGCATTCACTTTCTAAGCTAATTTATTTTATTTGCACTTTTATCAGCCGGCCAGGGGCGTAACTTGGCCAATAGGTTTGGGGGGGTGAAAAGGGATTCTGCCCTGCAAAACTGAGTGGTGCCCTGCAGACCTCGTAGCAACGGTTTGTCTATAGGTTACTAGTGAAAGCTTTACCAGTGTACACTGGTCTTTACCAGTGTACACTGGTCTTTACCAAGGACAAACTTCTAAGCAATAAAAATAAACTTGAAACTTCATTGCCTATGAAATATCTATGTCTCTACGTGAGCGTAATTTTTTTCATTCATTTCATTTGATGTTGGTTTGCAAAATACAAGCTAATAAACAGCTAATCTCAAGCTTAGTGAGGTAGGAGGACCCACCATGGTTGGGTCCGACGTGAAGAAATTTTTTGAAATTATACCTTGTAAAAGGGCTAAAAAGCATCTTTCAGACAAAAATTTAGCAAAATACTATTGTGCTAAAAGAACTGATTGTTTATTGAAAATATTATTGTTTATTGGGAAAAATAGGGAGGGGGGATATCATGCTAAAACTCTAGTATTAAACGTTGGGGAAGGAAAGAAACGGTAACCTTTCGTTTCAGATTGCACATAGTTGTGAATGACAGAGGAAGATGTTGTTTTGATTTGGGGAATTTTTTTTCCTGAACAGAAATGTGCAGTTTCTTGTATCGAGAAGGCCATGTTTACACATCCAAAATTAAAACATTGCAATGATACAGAAAATGATTTACTGAATTAATGCAAATAAAAGAAAAATGATAAAAATATACGTAAAAAAGTTAGCAATTAGATGAAACAAAATTGGTATCTCAACGATTTATCATGTTTTTTAGTTCATGCACTGTTAAAAAGTAATATATAAAATGATAAAAAATTCTTTTCTTGACCAAAGTGGGGGCTTTCAGCTCTCTATTCCCCCCAGTGGCGCCGTACCTGTCATGAAAATAATTTACAACTTAAATTAATTTGCATGGACTCAACCTTGCCCTCATAAACATATGCATCCATCATTGCATCCATTGGCTATGACTTTCGGTAAGAAATGCTTTCGCTTTGCAAATAACAGAGCCTTTCCTTACATACCTGTTCAGTTCTCTAAAATGCATTGTCAGGAAGGCAGGTTCATAAAAAATACGATATTTCCATTTCAAAATTCCTAAACGGCCCTTTACGAACTTCAGAGGTGGCGTTTCTGCGTGGCAATAAAGCTCTTCTTGGCGCCCTGCGAAATCTTCGATTGCCCTGCGAAATCGCCTATTTTTTGGATTGGGGGGGGTGTCACACCCCCCCACACCCCCCGGTATTTTCGCCCCTGCAGCCGGCCCTTAAACCGACCGGCCCTTCGGGCCAATCGCCCGAATAGCCCGACCAGCCAGTCCGCCCCTGGTTATAGGAGCATTGCAAGGCAATTAGAAAAGTTCGAGGAAATTGGAGAAATACCCTGTGCTATCGATCAGGCGCAGCGCAGGACTCACTTTAATGGAAATCTTGGTGAGAAGGTTTTAGAAAAAGAAAACAAGTTTCATAACCAATGGAATGAAGGAATATGTACGACAAACAGCAATAGAAGCAAGCCAGCAAGAAGAGGATGTCGTTGGTTGGCAAGCAGTGAAACAGATTCTTCTCCGCCTAGCACGAGAGAAAGATTAAGTGCTCACAATTTTATACCCCCAGAGGCGCGGGCGCGCATTAGGGGAGGTGTTTGTTTGTGCGTTTTCCCTTAACGTTTTCGGAGTCGATCCAAAATTTCTCTTGCGTAAAGGTAGGTCCACGCAACTATTCAATAATGAATGAAATAAACCTTCAAGGTGTTCCACAAAGGAGCAAGTGGAAATCAAATGTTTCAACCGAATTTTGCTCTTGACCTATGGCCGGAAACCGCCTGAGTCTCATTTTCAAATTTTATTTGTCCTATCCGCTAATTCGCTGTGTTATTTGTCCATGAAAGTGAGGATCTAAATGATTCAATTGACCTTGAGGACACAATAAACAGATGGGCAAAATTGTCAAAGACAAGGCGTCTGTCATGGCGTATTTGCCAAAACCATAATGGAGAGTGTTTGACGAATAGAATTTCGGCATGCTTTATTTCCGCTACTTCGTGCCATCTTTAAATTTTGCGGTACCGAAACTCTTTGAACTTTTTCAAAAACACTTTTTGAGTTAGATTATGAAATCTCCAAAAAACTATGTAGCCCTAGAGAAATTATGTTGCATACTTGATCTCATTTTTGTAAAAGTCTTTGAATCGTTTTTAGTAAGCACACATATTCTAAATACCCTGAGTCGATCCATAAAAGTATTCATGCTGCAGTCGGTCCAGAGCATACTTGGATGGATAACATTGTTTTTTTCATGAAGAGCTATTCTATTAGGGATCTACATTTAGAGGACCGAAAAAGTTAGAGAACTTATACTACTTAAGACAAAATCTCTTTGGAACTTTTCAACTTTGAGTATTTTTGTCAAAATCAAATAATCTTAAGAGTTAGAGCGTCAGTTACCTTCATTTGCAGACAAAACTCGCATAAAGTGTGCTATGTATCCATCAGGTGTTTCTTTGAGTTGTTTCTTGCTTTGCTGTCTTTTAAGAATATTGTTGCTAAGAAAATTCAGGCTCAGGATCGTTTTTTTTAAAAAATAACATTAGGGCAACTCGCATATTTCTGTCATTGTCTTGAGCAGTTGCCTTTTTCGCAATGTTAACAACAGAGTGTCGTAACAATGACATTTATCAAAAAGCGTGTTTTCTATTCGAGAACTACTGATGTTTTCCTGAAATCACATCGGATTTGGAAAAATGCAAATAATTTAAGAAAATATTCAGGTTCAAAACGAAAAGTACACCAGTCCTACCTTAGATACCTAAGAATGAGAGGCAAAGGGAAACATAACTTACTTAAAGGGCCAACTCTATCGTAAAAAATGGCTTGGAAAATAATATGGCAATGTGTCTTAACCCCAATCTTGAAGAAACTAATGAAATCAACAATGGTTGGAACAAACACACTCTACTTTGTATGGAAGGGAAGGGAGGAACAAGAGAAGAGAACAGAATGGAAAGAGCATTTAAAACGGAGCACTAATTTGAGTCAAGCCCAGAGGGTTTACATTGACAGGAATTTGTATTTTAACTTGACGAGAAAAATGGTGAGAATTTTTCTGCAAGCAAAAATTTTGTGACTCTGTCCTAGAATTAAACGCTGAAACATGATACTTGTCTCTGAATTATATCAAGGTAACTAATGGCTTCCCTAAATACAAATTTAATGATAATACATTTTTTGCATAGATATAAACAACAATATCATTCTGATGACAAATTTGATCTGCTGAAAAAAGGACCACTGCAATGCAATGGAAGAAACAAAAATTAACACAAATGAATTATGATGCACAAATCTGACCGGTGTCAAAGAAAAGGAAACAAAGGTGTTATCCTGCCCCAGAATGATTAGCAACAAACAAGAAAAAGGGGCAGAGACATCCCTAAGAATGAAAAGTAGCACATAAAGGCTTAAGACAGGAATGAAAGCAGGAGCATTACATCCAAATAAGAATAATACAATTCAGTTAAAATATGATCTCCTTGTGTAATCAAATTCTACAACACCCCTCAACAAATTAAAATTTGTGAATATGATTAAACTTTCTATACTTAGTTTTTCTAACAAGCAGACTGTAGCTGAATTGAAACAAGACAAATGCCTTTATTATTTGCCTTTTTTTGATCAGTGGCGAAAAATGAGAAATTCTTGAAAGAGTATGTAGCTTTCAATCTGATGGACAAGTTTAATAAAAACTATATGCAAAATAGTTAATAACAATCAATTTTTGATCGGGCAAAAATTCTTTTCGCTGATATCAATTCAGGGATATCTATTTTCAATGCTTTTCATTCACAAATTTGTACCAGGTGGAAAGAAAATTTTTAAAGCATTGGCAAAATGGCATTTGATAGAAAACACCTGGAGACAAGTGAAGATGAGGTAACATATTTGCTTCTGCTAAGAAGTAGCACATACATCATAAGAATTAAATGTTTGTCACTTAAAGGAAGACATTTGCTTTTGTCATATTAAGCTAAAGTTATATAAGCCTAAAAATTATGTCTGGTATTTGTCCTTGTGATTCTGATGTTATTGAGTTCACAGTGTAATCACCAAACTGAAAGGTGACACCATGGCATAAAACAATCTTAAAACCTTCAATGCCCTTCCAAGATCTCGGTCCCTGCAATCTGACAACAACACTATGCCAAACACACCTCATAACAGGTACTGGCTCATCAAACATTATTTTGTAAATATTTTCTTCTGATGCTGATGTTGATGTGTATCTCATGTGTTTTAGGATTTGATTGTCTCTAATTATTTGCGTGATTATTTCATACCTTCCTTCACTGTTTCCTTCAACAGCTCCATACAGACCTAGGCCATCAATACTTATATCTCGGTCAGTCTGAAACTTAATGCCTTCCTCTGTCCCATAATACCCAAAGCGCATTCCATCTTCAGCTGCTGGAAACCTCCGCACATGGTGCATTGCTGGTCCTATCCTAGATATGGTTGGGAATTTCAAAACTGGTTTATTTGTTGAAGTGAAGTATAAAAATACATTGAGTGCCTCTTCTGCACTTAGAAGACCAGACCTGGCAACATGATCAGCAAATTCTCGATCAGTCATTGTTGGAAATCGTATCAAATTGAGGCAGTCTCCAACAACTGATCTGAGGTTACCTGGAGTGCATTCAAGGTCACACCTCTGGCACTCTTTCTCTGCCCATCTTAAGACAGCTTTAAAAATGTCAATTTCTTCTGCCCAGAGAGTATCCCTTCCAAGAACAGACTTCAGTAGATCTCTGGAAATGTCAGTAAAACTGCAGGAGTCAAGAACTTGAGTTGTTCTACAATCGATGATATCTAGACATCTTTCTTGCAATTGTTCTTCATTCAGAAGAATTGCTTGTGGTACAATATCAAGTGCGTTATCTGCATCTAGATTCTGTTCAAGGAATACTACACAAAGGTCTTCTAGTGAGGGCACAACATATTTTTTTGCAAGATACAATGTTCCGAATACATTTTCTGTTGTAAGTTGCGTTTCATCACAATAGAAATACCTCAGCATTTCCAAAAGTGAATCTGTATCAGAATCTTCGATGTTTACTTCTTTGCAATCCGTGTTTGACAAAGAGCCATAAAACATTGCATAAAAAACTGGCGATGAAATGGCAAGGACGTATTTATGGACAGGAATTTCAGTTTGGTCAGGACCTTTTCCAGAAATTAGACGCACATCGCTCATCAAGGGGTTATTGAACATGAACGCGTTTCTAGTACGAACATCCTTTTTCGATACTTGCCAATGGCCTGCAAAAATTAAGGACTGCATCCTTTCACGGGATGTTTGTTGCTTTCGATGATAAAATCGTTTGCTGATGCTTTCATTCTGGGAGCTTTTGGTAGCAGCCCTTGCAGCTTCTTCCCCTTGGAACTCCATTTTGTAATAATTGGATGGAATAGTGATCAACAACAACAATGAAACAACAACAACAGCACAAGTCCATACTAGAGTACAACTTGTAAGTCAATATAAAAGGAAGTTTAATAAAATAAACAATAATGGAAAGGAAATCAATAAAATAAACCAGCACGGTAGAGAACAAGTAAGGTGTGTACAAAGGGACACATATAACGCGTTATTGCCTACTTTGTAGCACAAAAAGTATAGAAGTTGCATGAATCTTGATTTTAATCAACAATAGTTATAGAGTAATTCAAAGTAATCATCATTTGTCATTCAAGTTGTCTTGTAAAATATAATTAAGATTTTTTAAACTAGTATTTTGAAAGATAATTTCTCATTTCTACTGGTAGATCTTATCATGTTTTTGCCCCCACTGATAATGTGACAAAATATAAGTTGATAAAAGTAGCTTTTCTCTTTGCAAAAAGGAGTTCATAAAAAATAGATAAAACTTTTAGAAATTGTAAGCTACTCCTAGGATGAAATAGGTCATTCTTGAAAATTAAGCATGGGTTATTTGACAACAATAAATCTTAATATGATAAAAATGAAATAATATGATAATAAAACAATTAATTGTGCAATGAAGCAATGTTAAAACCGAAAGTAGTACAGTGGATAGAAAAATTTTCTTAGAATAAGACCTTACTGATCGTGATTGGGCGAGATGTTTTTTGGAACAAGGCGGTACTGACCGTGATTGGGCTAGATGTTTTTTGGAATAAGACCTTACTGACCGTGATTGGACTAGATGTTTTTTGGAATGAGACCTTACTGACCGTGATTGGGCTAGCTGGTAAAAAAGTTAAACAAAGTATGCAAGGGTTGGTAAATTACCATTGAAAAAAGAACTGATGTCAAAAGACTATCACACAAACACTACCATCTTTTAGACATAATATATTTTGGACATTATGCAACAGTTTATCCTTATTAAATACATGAAAATAAAAGCAATGTTAGGAACACAAAATGACTACTTTCAGAAGATGAGTAAAAAACATAGAAGCAATATGGGAGCTTGCACAGCTCTATGAAACTTTCCATATCATTTCACTAAGGTGGTAGGAAGATATTTTCTTTTTGGGAAAGGAAGATGGAAAGAGCTTTTTGAATGGGTTGTGTACCAAATTTAATCTTTTTTCAGCAAAGCAAAACCAACTCTTACAGGAAAATTAAAGGAAATTCTCAAGGAAACTTTCTGACGAGGCAAATGTCCGATTTTTAACTTGAATAAGGAGAAAAAATTAAATGGGAATTGAAACTCAGTCCAACCTAGTGAAAGTCTGAGCTAATAGGGGGACAACTTCCAGGGAAACATCAGTATTTGAGGAATAAGAAGAGAGTAGCAAATTAAATCTAAGAAGTTTGAATTCGAAAACTTTGTATTGTGTTTTCTAAACTTCGATTTTGTGCAACCAATGCAGGCATTAGCAAGCATCGTTGTAGCGACATGTCAAACATGCCATTGTTCTTCTTTTGCAGAATGAGGAACCAACCACTTACAGACAGATGCAACAGCTTCAATGTCTTTTTTTACCAACTCACGTTCGTGGTGGAGGTCGTGGTGGTTGCATCATTCTTGGCCTCATTCCGCGCTGATCCATAGCTGAAAGAGAGGCGAGATCAAAACAGTTTATTTGAAGAGACATGCTTTTAAAAAATCAGAGCTTCCATGTAATAAAAGAAGCTAGCCAAATGAAAATGCTGTCTAGGGAAACAAAAGTCAAATACATAAACAAAAAAAATGCCCCTTCAATACATAAAGGAATGTATTGTAAAAAATAAACGCACATGGCTTTGAAAACGACAAACATTTCACAACATACTACTTTAAGCTTTTCCGTCTGATACCTTCCAGAGTATAATAAGTCAGAACAAGGGTCTGAAAGATAACAATAAAGAGTATATACCCAGTTGTGGAAAGAAATAGGCCAATCAGAAAAACGCAAGCACATGACCGACATAGTTGTCCAATTAATGCTGTGTGCCCATAGAAAAATTACCACTGGAGTCCAAGAGAGAAAACAAACTTCTTCTGTCTACACAATGGCCGCTTTTTCGTTTGTATCATTTTGCTTTTTCGTCTTTCATCTAACAGTTTTGGAATCGATCTACATACAGAAGGAGTGAGGAATAGGCCAATAAAAAAACGAAAAAGTGGCCATTGTGTAGACAGAAAAAGTTTGTTTTCTCTCTTTGACTCCAGTGGTAATTTTTCTATGGGCACACAGCATTAATTGGACAGCTATGCCGGTCATGTGCTTGCGTTTTTCTGATTGGCCTATTTCTATTTTCAACTAGGTGTATATTTTCATTTGCGTTCTTTTGGACCCTTGTTTTGACGTTTCATACTCTTAGGAGATTCAGACAAAAAAGCTTTGAGTAGTATGTTGTGAAATGTTTGCTTTTTTCAAAGCCATTTTCAAGTTCTGTACCGCTAAAAAATAAATGTAGAAAGTATGACCTTTATTTCTTTAACCAAAAAAGACATTCTAGATGCTCTGTAAGATCATAAGCCAATTACTTGCCACATGGATCCATTACAGACTAGATCAAACAGCAACAAAAGAATCATGTTTCTCTGCCACATCCCTTAAACCAATGACGTAAGGCAGAAGAGGTTCCTTTACACGGTGCTACGCCCACTTTGAGTTACAACTTCAATATGCAATGTAAAGGAATTATTCATGAACATGATTTGCCATAAGGGGCCGACAAAACACAAGAACAAGGAAAACTTACGCATTCTCATTCTTGCATTTCCACGTGGATCAAACTGAGCATCATGATCTGTGGGCAGTCCTGGTTGCGGACCCCTGAAGCCACCGAAAGGTGGGCCTTGTCTCATTTGTGGAGGTGGACCTCGTGGAAGGCCACTCTGTGCCATCCCAGGTGGTCCAAACTGACCTGGGTGAGGAGGTGCTCCGAAAAACTGACCAGGATGGCCGAACGCACCTGCTGAATCCGACATGGGGGGTCTTGGAAATCCAGGGATACCAGGTGGAGGGAATGTTCTCTGGTTAAATTGCACGCCGGTGTTGCTTTCAGCCACTCCGGAGGGGCCTCCTTCTGGTTGACCAGGGGTTGGAATGACAGGTGGAGGCATGGGAGGGGGAAGCCGTCCATGTGCCTAAAACAAAAAAGGAGGTAAATAGGTACAAATTTTACTAAACTCGAAGGTGTGTTGAACGTGAGTTGGGATGAAAGTTCCAATCTGCTAAACTGCATTATACATTATTTAAAATTTTCTAATAAACTTTTCAAAAATCAATTATTTTTAAACATTTCCAAGATTTTTGTCTCACATACTTTTGCCTATAGAAAATATTACCAACGAAGTCAAGAGATGAAAACGAAAGCCTTCTGTTTACACCATAGCGGTTTGTTGGTGTTTCACAAGCCTCCAGTTTGGACTCCATTGGTATCATTTTTATAGGCAGGCATTTTATAAGATGTTTGCCTTTGCCAGTGCAATTCCTGAATAATCTAAGTCAGATGCAAGATTTCGATTTCTTCTTTGCCCGATGTCCAATTCAACCTAGTGCTTACTATTTTATCTAAATATTCAACACCAACTCTTCAACTTTAGGAAGACCTTTTCGTTTTTCCAGCCTTTGTCTTCAAAAGATATTCACATTAAACAGCTCCACACAAAACAACGCTTCAGCCTGCTTTTGTATATCATGACGCTCCCTCCAGCTGAATGGAGCGACCTGAATTCAGTACGCGAATTCTGATCAAACAAATTCCAAACTGGGTAAATGGGGGCTTGTTTCATCTTTTCCTTTGTCTGCATTTGCTTCGAGGTCGTCCTTCCCGCTGCCTAAATGAAAGTCTTACCCACAGCCTATAACGCTGTTAACTGTTAACTGGTCTGTCATCATATAGTGCTCAATGTCTATGGACAGAGCACACTGTTGTTTCAAGCTGCAATTCCAAGTTCACACTCAATACCATCATCATTCAACTTTATCACAGTGTCAAACTAAACTGTTCCCGGGACAATTGGCTATAGAACACTCGGCAAATAACATATGGTAGTAGACATGTAAGGATTCCGAGCAAAAAATAGTTTTCAAACGAATAAAGAACTTGATATTAATTTCTTACTAGAGGAAAAAGGATTAACAAAAAATTTCATCAATTCAAATAAAATAGCTGCCTCAGAAGACATTGCCACATTCCTCATCAAATTAGTTCTTGAGGCTACATTCCCTCATCACAGGAAGGAATGTTAGGCCGTTGGTGCATCGGCACAAGTTGCTTCACCTCACCAATATAGAAAAAATCAAGCCTTTGATATAGCTTGATTTACTCAAGTACAAGCAGCTTGAAGTTCTGAACAGGAAATGGACAAGAAAAGTAAACTTTTCCCCGCCAGAGAGCCAATGCACCAGGCCTACCTTAGATACCTAAGATATGAGAGGGGAAGAGAAAACATGACAGAATTTAGAGCAGAGTTTTTCCTAAACGAAAAAAACAGGTACACTGAAAGGAATCCTGTGATGTATATGGGCCCTAACCCCAAAAAGAGAACAAGTGAATTACAAAGAATTTGAAGAAATGCACTATGCTTGATATCAAAAAGGGAGGGAGAGACAAGAGAAGAGAACAGCGTGGAAAAAGAATACCAAACAAGCATGATAAGACTGACCCAAATCAAATGAATACACTCATCTGGGTCAATGGACCAACACTTTCGTACAGAAGCCCAAACTACAGAACTCCTTCTTCTTTACTATTCCCAATTGCATCAAAGCAGTACATAAGGACCTAAATACCAAATGAAAGCATGACATTCATTCTTTCTTTGTTTGATTTTGGTTTTTTTCTTTGCTCTTTTAATAAAGGGAATAAATATATATGAAAGTAAACTCACCATCATCGGTCTTGGAGGGGGCAGTATTGGACGCTGGCCTGGTAGGGGCATCTGACCTGCGGAGGACGCAGCTCCAATGGACGCTGGGTAGTCGGCGGTGGAGGAGGCAACTGATGATGGAGGAACTGGCCGAGTCATAAACAGGGGTTGCGAAGATGGTGGCATCTGCGGCATAACAGGCGGTGGGGGGATTAAACCATGGGGAGGTAATCCAGGTGGGGGGATTGCCGGAGGTAAACTTGGTGGTGGAATAGACGGAACTAGAAAAAAAGCATATCTAGGATAAGATTTAAAATAGGTCTAAAACAGAAAAAATGAAATAGAAAATGAAAAGAATAAAAGATTAATACGGGTGCATGTATGTTTAAGCACTGGTACTTTAAGAAAGTATGTGTTGCAGAAGCTAAAATTCACAAGGACCCTTGATCGTCTGCCTAGCACAACCTTGATCAGCAGAGAAGTCCTTGGAAAAAACAGAAATGAAGAAAAACAGAGGATTACAATACATGACAAGAAAAACTTTATACAAGCAATATATCACAGTTGGATACAATGCAATAATCTTCATAAAAATTAATTGCTTACCTGACACTTGTCCAGGCGGAACAAGCATATTGATGCCGGACATCTGCTGAGCAATGTCCATACCGCTGGGTGCAACCGGAGGAGCATCAGCAAACAGTTGATGCGGCCGGTCTGTCTGGGTCAATGGATTCTGTGCAGCCAGGAGTCGTTCTGTAGAATCAAAGATACACAATAAAAAGCCTTTCAGCAAAACATCGTCAGGGGCAAGCAACAACGGGTAAAAAGCCAGTAAAAAGCACGTCATTTCGCCTGTGAATATTCCAAGGCTTCACGATTGCTAACACCATTGGGAAGCGCAAAGAGGTTTCAGTGTCAATACGTATCAGATCAAGTGTACACCTGCCGGTGACTATCTTTGTGTTACATGCCCAGGTAGATGTCAGATTTTTGAAAGAATATCAGCTACAAAAGTTTGAGCAGACACAAAGCGTATGAGCAGACACAAAGCGTATGAGCAGACACAAAGCGTATGAGCAGACACAAAGATACATACCAGCAGCAGAGCCATGTCTTTCTCCTTTGGAATCTTTTTTGAAGGCATACGAAACGCTGATTGGTCGGTTGCTCAGGTACTGGCCGTTCATTGCTTCTATAGCCGCATCTGATGCCGCAAAACTAGCAAAGTTGATGAAGGCAAAACCCTTGGAGTTTCCAGTTTCTGGATCACGCATGATCTAAAAGCAGTGAAGCGAAAATCACTTACAGGATAGACGAATTTAAGGCATGCAACAGATCGCCCGAATGAGTGCCTGCAACAACAAACACAAATTACATGACAGGCACAAAACGGTGAGATATGAAGCAGACAAACGATGCTATTCACCAACAGTCTGCTCCAGTATAAAGGCTTTCTTCAAGTGGCAATTCGGTTTAAGGTCTGAAGAGAGGAAATTCGGAAATTCGCTTTATGCTTTCCTATTAAGGTCTAAAGAGAAGAAGTTGAATCTTAGGCTAAATTTTGAACACAATCTCGCTAAATCTTAGCTAAATCTTGGGTATGGCAAAATTTGTCTAGTATAAACGTTTTGCAGCATTTAGGTCTTTTATAAATGACAAACCGACTTCTGAAAAAAATTTTAACACGGAAGTAAATGCATATCACTAACATGCTTAATATATTTATCCTAAATCGGTTCTCAGAAAGTAACCAGATATATTTTCATCACTACATCTTTTATGCTTTTATCTTACCATCTGCCTTGTCTATGTCTATTTCGCTTATGATTTTACTTTTTACAATTTTCTTTTAACAATAGTATTAACTTCACCAGAGGAAATCCTATAAAAGCAATCATCTGCAGCTAAAGCCTTTCCCATACTGCAAAAGCGCTTATTCATTCCACTAGCTATCATCTTGTTGGTCAGTTTCTTTGAAATATTGATATAAGGCACTTCAACACTGGTCATTCATTGGAATATAATGCTTGCTCTTGTTGGTTCCCTCATAAACTAAGCACTTCAGTTAAGTATTTGAGTTTTCTTTAAAAAGGGAGACACTTTTACTACTCGGATTGCTCCCATTGCAGTTTAGTTCAGTTGAGCTTAGCGCACAAAATAAAATGATATTATCCCTTGAAGCTTACGAAAGGGCCCACCATAGGCAAGTTAAAAATACCCTGATATTACCCAAAGCCTACAGTACATGCTGGTCTTCTCGAAGCTTAATTCATCATTGCTAAAGGACTATTAGACCAATTCACAGTTTCAAACATGCTAGACCTCTACAAAAAGAGAAACATTTGTGTACATTTTATAGAAGAGAAAGTCATCAGATTTGCTGTCTTTGACAAATCGGTGATCTCTAGCTTCTTGTGCGACTGGAGCGGCAGGGCCGAGGAATAAAACCCTTCTGTTTATACCAAAAGCGTGACAGCTGCAGGCAGATCTTGCTTTCTTCCAACTGCCCATTCTTAACTCGAAGAATGAGTACATTTAATCATCTTCATCAGCTATAAAGATTTAATAGAAATTTAAAAGAGCAAACACTTTTTCCCTTTCACAGATAACAGTCCTGTTTTTTGGCCTGTCCATAATTCTTCCTATCCTTAACACTGCTGTTGCGAAAACTGATAGATGGGTTTCAAGCTGATAGATTTGAAGTTTAAATTGACAGATACGAGTCTTTGTATTGTGACTCTGTATCTTGTGGCATTGCAAAAAACCTAAATTAAAAGTAAAAACTCGAGAAAAGACAGCATGCAAACCTTTGGCGTTTGCAGAATGACACCAAAAGCGGAGAATGTATCATAGAGAAGCTTTTCGTCAATTTCTGGATCGAGGTTGCCAATAAACACATTTGCTCCAACATCAAGATTTTTATTGTGCGCAGAGGCCTGAAACAGAATAGACATTGGTTGCAAATTAAGTTGATTTGTCAACGCAGTTTAGACGAAAATGTGATGATGATAATAAAACACCAAGTACAGAACTTTCCGCAAATCAGATTTAAGAAAAATATCACGATCTTCGCCCTGACAAAACACTGTGCTAGTAGAATAAATATGAACATGAGCCTAGATACACATAGGTAAAACAAGTAAAAACCTGGGACCAAAATACCTTATTAACACGTATGGGCTTCCCATACACTTTAATCATGTTCATAATCTTAATAGCATAGTCTGCATCTTCCTCCCCCATGAACTCGACGAACCCATAACCTTGATGTGCTTGAGTAATTCTGTCCTTTGGCATGTGAACATTAACTGGAAATGAAAATGGAAGAAGTATTTAAATTCGAAGATGAAACAGAAATAAGAGACTTCATCACTGAAAATTCATACTTCTGCGGAAACTGCATGTGCTACTTCTTCTTATTGACCATAACCCAAAAGCCTCCCCACCTCCAACTCTCAAAATGAGTTCTCACATTAAGAAAACTGGAAATTAGAATCATAGAGAACATGGCTTTTTAACAGAGTAGCTCAAATTTTTTGATGATATATGCATTGAATAATCCAGGTTACAAATTATTTCAATGATGAAAGTGGAATAACTGATGCATTGATGACACATCCAGTTATATAAACGCATTTTACGATAATATTCCTGAAAAATGACATCCCTTCTGATATCATTATTTTAAAAAACCATCACCTTCAACAAAAGTATTTCAAAGCTCTTTTACAATCTTTTTCTAAAAATTTATGCTGAGAAAACAATCAGCAGACTTTTGATCCAAATATGCGCCTGCTTGAGGGCTGGCTCAGTTATTTTTGGAAATCTTCTTGGTTTGGCATGAATGGAGAAAGCTACTTGTTACAAGGGACATTGCATGAGTAACTAGAATCAGAAAATGACAATATGAGAAACATTTTGGTGTTCAGCTTACCGACGGGTCCTGCTTGGAGAAACAGTTCCCAGAGCAATGGCTCTGAAACCTTTTCATCCAGATTCCCACAATAAACTGTTGCATCTGCAAAAAATCCAATGAACAAAAGATAACATTTTTGCTACGTAGATCAAGACATTAGCCAAAAATAGATGGTAAGATAAAATCTTTACTATCTGAAAATTGATGCAAATGTGTTCCATGTTAGGAAATTCGCATTCGCATATATTTTTCATCGCTTGCTTTATAGAATGTAAGCGTTTTGGTCTAACATCTTTGCCTCTAGCACCAACCCTGATTTAAAACAGTAATTTTAACCATTGAAAAATAAAATAGTATTCTCACATGTTGTATGAACTACTACCTTTGATGATAAAAAAAAACAACGAACCGAAACCCAGAGCAAGATGTAGGATACATCAATACTAATTAAGTATCTAGTTTGCTAGTACTGATATGAAATTTAATCAAAGTTATTATAGATTTTAAGATCTACTAACTTTAACCTTGAAAATAAACTATCAGTATTATGCATGGTCACGTTCTTCTTGATCATCTAATACAGTATAAACAAAATGGTTGCTGTTCTGAAAGCTGTTATCAAAAGTCGAGGACCAGCAATGAGTTCTTTTTTAGTATGGCAATTTTTTTAGGACAAATTTTTAAACAAATCAAGCAACTTAAATATCACTTTCAGTGGCTAGAAACTTTGTCAAAGCTTCGCAGGAAATCTTGAATTTTTCATTTTGCTGCCAGGAAGAAAAATCTTTTTCAAGGCCTGCATGCTGCTGCTAGGCCCTGTCTGCCATTTTGCTAGGTTCTTGTTGACCCTTTGGACAGCCAATGATACTTGCGGTGAACTTACTGAGGCTGAAAATGTTTGTGACGTCAATCTAAAGATCTCTGATAACACGGTTGAAAAACAATTCAACTCAATGACCAATTTACAAACGCTTATAACTACAAAACGGTAAGAGATATGAAAAAAATAATAGCACATAAGTTTTCAGGAGGTCTGATTAAATAGTGTTGTGAAGTAAAAATTTTGGGCTGGAACGTCCCTTTAATCTTATTAAGAAGTTCATTGATGGTAGGGGTGTACCGGATCAGGATTTTCATAATCCGGCCGGAACCGGATTTACTGAATTTCTTCGCGGAATATCCGGCCGGATTTTACCGGATAATCTGGCCATTTATGGATTTTTCAGTAATAAAAAGTTTTTGAGCCACTTTGCGAAAAAATTTATAGCGAGAAGATCAAAGAGACCCATTCAGGGTTGCCAGATTGAATTTCCAAAACGAAGGCTAGACTGGTGAGCAATTTAAGCCAAAATGCTCATAAAAAGGCAAAATCCAAAACTTTCGCAAGAATCCAACAATCCCATTCTTTGTATTTATACTTTTATAACTTGTTTTCTCTAGAAATTTTCTTAGTTATGATTGAAATTCTGGAAAATCTGGCAACTGGCTTGATTTCGAAAACAAATCCGGCCGGAACCTGATCCTTCATGTTCCGTTTCACATGCAGAGATCTTATTAGTGTAGTATCCCCTTTATTTATTGAGAGTGTTGACCTTATTGCGGATATGCCTATACAAATCCATAACGAGTGGTGACATATTGGAGCATGTTTGTCAATGTTCAGGGAAAATCGGCTGGACCAGTAATTGACCAGAATATTAATTTCATTGGTCTCAGTGAATATTTGCTCCCAACATATAGCAGAAACACCAGCAAGGAATGCTTCCTTACTGAAATGTTTCATTTTGCATGTTTTGATCATTTTTTGGCCTTTTTCCACTGCACAATTGAATTTTCTGATGCAGTAGACCAAATAATGATCACTTAGAGAAACTTTATGCACTCCTGAACCCATTATGTTTCTGGCATTTGTTGTGGCAATCTGGTCAAGGATAGAAGATGTGGTCAGGGTTACCCTTGTTTGTTCACAAATAAGCTGTTTGAAGCCAAAGATCCCATACACATCACACAAATTTTTGTGTTGTTTTCTCTGGGCTGATCAGCTTCACATCCTGCAAGATCACAATTAGTGTCTCCAAGGAAGATCATCTCTTTTCCCTCTATGTCCAAATAAGATAGAACATGTTCTAGCTTATTGAAAGAACCAACAGGGTCACTAGGTGGTCTGTACCAAGCTACAATGAGAAATGACTTGCTTTCGGGTGGTTCTACTTCATTACAAATGAGTTCAAGATCATCCTTTGGAACATCAGAACGTGGTTTGTATTTATTAGAGTCCCTAATATAAATAGAAACGCCACCACTGCTGCTGTTTTTGGCCAGGTGTTCTTGTTGGTAGCCAGCGACACTAGTACGTTTTTTGGAAAAGTTGAAGAAAAGATCTCTATAGTTTAAACCAGTCTTTTCTGCAATTTTTTTCTCTGGCAAAAAATTGAATTTTAAACTATGTCAGACTGGAAACTTTGTTGTGCGCCCACAAGATATTGACCACGCACTCAACTGTGTGCTTTTCCATAATTGGCTGCGCAAAATCTCCAGATAAAAACATTTACCATAATTAACGCTAAAAGCGCTAAAAAACTTACCCTTTCGGGCAACCCAGTCTCAAATATTTAAAGCAAACTTCTCCGATCAAGAGACAGAGTTTCCAGTCTGGAAACTATGTAATATGTGCTTTGCTTTTTTTCACTGCTGTTAAACCTAATCAGCTAAATCTAAGAAAATTCTAGATTTGAAGAGGGGAATCCAGCAAGCACAGTTAATTCAAATAATTAACTACAGGACTTCAGGAATTTTGGAGTATATAAGTGAAGAGGAAAGTTGGTGGCCTAGATTCCGAGCCTGTCAAGTATCAAGTGTGCGTTTGACTTCTTCTTTTCTGCTTCCGCAGGCACTGGTGTTGCTGGAGAACAAAAAAAATGAATAAAGAAAATATAAATCTACAGCTTAAGGCTGCACACACTTTAAGTGCACACCTTCTGACTAATGAACCCTGCACACTTCAATTTTTGTTCGTGCACAACCGAGATCTCGTCGAAAAGTGATGCCGTAAAGGTCGGGTAGAGTGTAGCGAAATACAAACTACTCACCCTGATTTCTCTCCTGTATTGGACCTGCCATTACACTATTTACTGTGTGAGTGCACAAACTTTATTCCTGCCAATTTCTTTACCCAACAATATGGCAAGCAACATGCAAAAAACTACATAAGAGGCACTATCCATTCAGCCATACGATTTGGCCTAAAGAACATTGCCGCATTCTCATAATGAGACAGAAGCTGCAAACGAGGCAGCATCTTCACCTCGTTCTTGAAAAGATTCTCCTCTTCAATCACCGATAAAGCAATCACATACATACGCGCGCGATTGGATTGTGTTTCTAAGTGGCGAATAGGGGTGGGTCGGAGGTGAAACAATCACCAATTAAAACTTCGATCTTTTAGAGCACTTTTTAAAAAAATTACAATAAGAAACGTCTTTTAAAGTTTCAATTTGTAGCATTTTGACGTAAGCTGCAAGCTTTTGAAACCACTTTTAGCCTTCTTGAGTTCGTAGGATGTAATTTGCCACTGGATTATTGTGGAATTTCGTGTCAAACCTGAACAATTCGTTTATTTAACGATTATTTGGTTCCTAAAGAACCATTTAAATCGTGGTGCATATTGTTTTTCTTGCGAAGCCAAAGATTTTCAACGACCTGCAAATCTGGATTTGATAGACGCCATTGAAAACTTGATTCTTCTTGTTTGGAAGTGAATCGTTGTAAAAATGGGCCGGGCTGCCCTGTGGCGGTGTCCTTCCGTCGTCCTTCCCTCGTCTTCCCCGTCTGACTCACATTTTGATAATATTAACTATGGAAACAATTGAACTAATGCACAACCTTACGAATCTGTGAATGAAGCCTCTGATGACAGTTCTTTGGAAGCTATCAGGACGAAAAACCACAACGGCCTAAAAATTGCCTACCTAAATATTAACTTAATCAGAAACAAATTTGAATTTCTAAGACCCCTTGTAGCTAATAATGTTTATATATTTGCTATTGCAGAGACAAAATTTGATGAAACATTTACAACCAGTCAGTTTTTACTAGATGGCTTTTCAAAACCCGTCAGGTTTGATCGAAATCAACATGGAGGTGTTTTACTGATCATGTCAGAGAGGGTGTTCTCTTTAAAGAGATATCTGCCTCTTTAAAGTAGTAGTCCTCTATAATGATATACAGATTTAAAAGCAGATTTTAAAAAAGGGTCTTTGGGCTCATCCCATTTACAATATAAAATGTGAAAAACAATTAGCCAGCCACAAAAAGCTTACATGTCTCTATAGCATTTGATTTAAAGCGACTACTGGCGCATACAAATGAAATCGTTTATTTGAAGTCCTTTCAAAAAAGAACATTCTGAAAGTGGTGGTCGGCGAATACTGTATTTGCCATCTTTAATATTAAAATCCTCTCAACTATTTTAGTCCTCTGTAATATTTTAGTCTTCTAAATATTGCAATCTTCTTGAATGTTGGAGTCGTCCTAAAACATTATTGCCCTCTCAACATCTTAGTCCACTTAAAGTAGTAGTCCTCTTGAATGATTTAACTTACAAAATATTATACTCCTCTCGAACATTTCAGTCCATTTAAAAATTTTATATTGTACGAAACACAATCTAGTATATATTAGGGACATGATGTATATTTATTGTGTATGTTGTATATATATATATTTAGTAAATTGCTTGTAGTTTTGAGGATCGTCCGGAAAGCTTCGTTGACAAATTCATCGTTTCTACAACCGGTCTTTTAAGCGAGTGCTGGAACATTTTGTCCGATATGACAACTGATTGTCCGAATTACCAAATGAAGGAAGGTGGATGAATTTTCATATTAAAGTGCACAGTTTGTCTATAGAGGCCAGTCCAAATATTTCCTTTTTTGAAGACACGTAGTAGTTCACTAATTCTTTAACGTTTCTATAATGCTTATCTTGTTGCTCCTTGCATCTTTTGTCCCAAAGCCATTGATAAGTTTCAAAGGAAAAAAGATTGTAATGCGTGTTATTCCTTAGCCATCTTTTGCAGTTTTCTGGACATACATCAAATCCAGCTGAATAGCAAAGTCCCTCTTTGATGAAATTGTCTATGCTTTCTTTAGGAGGCTCCATTTTGTCATAGATTTTACCATTTGTTATTGTGTACCTTAGGTGGATTGACGATCTTGGCATCGGTACCAGCATCTCTGGTGGCATATTAGATCGATAATAGTCTGGTGACACTTGACTGGCAGACAAATGTTCTCCTGTCCAATCACCATTTGGGACCATCTGCAAACGCCATGAATAGGCATCTCTGTGGTAGTACCAAATATAATTGCACATTATGCTAAATTGACAGATACAAAGTGTTTCATTTCCTGCAGCGGAATTCTTGAAAACTAAATCGAAATCTGTGTTATGGCTTCTTGCAAGAAACTCCCTCATTTCTTTCATATGTTCTGTTTTGATCATGACAGGGAAAGTTGACATGCACTGCATAACTTCCTTTTTGCCAAGAAACAACTCTGTTGTCTCTGCCCAACATTGGTATGGAACTTGGCCAATCTTTGCGATAATGATTGGTTTTCCATTTTCAAATAGCAACTGCGGTGTTACTAAGGTGCTGAAAAATGTATCAGTGTCAACGTACCCTACGTAAGAGACATTGGTACATTCATCGGGATACATCATGTCCCAAAACATCCTGGCCTTGCCCCTCCCACGGTAAGCATCGACGGTACTTGGGTCTCTGTAGCATAATCGTGGATAAGGCCATTCTCCTTTTATTTTGTCACCAAATAAATGGTCTTCCTCTTTCTCATTGTCCAACACAACTAAAAGTTTGGCTCTCTCATAAGGAAAGAAAAGGTTCATAGTGCGAATCAAATCATTTCTATACTCTTGTTCCCATCGTAAACCAGATGTTAGCCTCAAGTAGAGCACAAATTCAGGGACACCATCCCACGGGTTTCTTGCAGGAAGGATCCTTTTAACAAGCGGTTGGACATGATTTAAATCGTTTGCATCTTTGGTTTTGGAACTAAGCAGAAAGATACCAAATGCAACGAAGATTGTTGCCAGTAGCAATGCCAAGTGAAACAACTGCATGGCTGTTGTACCTATGGAAGGAACGAAGCATAGTTTGAGTAAAACATTTCATGTTGTCATCATATCATTACTGACAATTATACTATCTGTCGCTGTTTAGTCGCAATTAAAAAGATTACATTATACACAAATGGAAATCCAACAAATGACTTGCTTTAAAGACATTGTAAGTGTGGCCTTTGGTTGCATACGAGTATGGGTGGGTTGAGTCTTTAACTGCAATATCGAACGCTTTTGGTGCTAGAATAGCGAAAATGATACATATCACAAAAAAGGGGAATCAACTAAAAAGACCTAAACAGAGCATGGTAGAACCAATCAACTACATTTACAATTGAATGTGCTGACATGGAAATCAAAATTTATTATGAACATCTCCAAGGAAAATCTATAAGCAATTTACAGAACAGAAAAATTTATAATACCAATTTAGGTTGAATTCAAAGAAATCTGTACGTAAAAACTAAAGTTGGTTGTTCTAAACTACTACATCGATGGATAGACGAATCGATTGGTAAATAAAAATGTTGTTAAAAAAATGGAAATTGCTTTTTTACCGGTCTTTTAAGCAGTTTTCGCTGAATTAAAGGCAGTGTATACGTTTTCATGTATAGAACAGGACCGTTAAAGCGATCATTAGGCAAGTACTTATCGGGAAACGGAGTAGGTGCTGGCACTTGGTTTCAACTTTAGCCCCAGGCAGTTAATTGGTCAAGATAGATCTCAAATATTGAGAGGCAAATTTGCTTGAATCTCCCAGAAAATTGTATAAAGTTATAGAAAGGCAACTAAGCAGTCCGATACCAGCTAGGAAAATTTTGAGGCATTGATTCTGGATGAATTATTCTGACTAACTCTGGATGATCAAATCTGGAAGGCCAGAGGCGGATTCACACTGACTCCCTAGGTGCACAGAACTAAGTCAGTTTTCTAAAATGAATTTTCAATATTCAGACTTTTGGAAAGGCAGCTTGATAACGAAACTTATAACCAGTACCACGACAAAAAAAGACATGGCAGTTCTTTTAGCTTGAATCGATTCGAAAACTCCTTATTACATTTTAGTAGATGAAATCAGTATATACTGAAAATCCGATTCAATTAGATAGTCCAGTTAAAAAGTTACAAACCCTTTAATTAGACATTTCCAATAGATAAACGTTTCAACTCTAGTTAGAGTCATCCTCAGTATATAAAACTACAGGCGAAAAAACTATAAGTACGGATACGGAAAGGCTAAACATAGAGGATCATAAATCACGTGATCCAGTAGTACGCTGGAGGAGCAATCAGGACGCGAGAGAAGACACAAGGAATGATAAACAACCTAAAAGATTTTGCAAAATTTGTAAGTGGGATGATGAGGAGAATTTGTTACTCAAATGCGACCTATTTCTCAAAGATAGACATCACTGACGTAGAAGTTATAGAAACAGGCTAATAATACTTGGTGTGTGAATAATGAAAAGGCCGCAATAGCAGGAAGCTCGACGGACTCCGATGGAATTCTTGCGGCGAAAAATCGCCAAAATGTAGCGAATAAGAAACAGCGCAACGCGCCGAGAATGTACAACAATAAACACACATAGAAATCAGTAATGGCCAATAATTCGCCCCGGCAAACGGGGCTTCATCACAGCAAAAGTAAACGGACTTGAACTTCATCAGAGCAGTTACACGTGAAGAAGTTTTATGCGTACTTTTTGGTTTGTAAATTTAGTTTGGCGTGAACGAGCGCTGTAGTTTCGCATATCTACCAACAATCCTTCAAGATGCAACAAAATATTATTTGTAAATGGCTTTGAAAAAAGCAAACATTTAGTAAACTAAAGCTTTTCGTCTGACACTCTTCAGAGTTTAAAACGTCAGAACATAGAACGAAAACTCTACGCTAAGAAATATATATACCCAGTTGTGGATCGAAATAGGCCAATCAGAAACACGAGCACATGACTGTAAAGGTTGACCAATCAGTGCTGCTTGCCTATTAGAATGTTACCAATGGAGTTCTAAGGTGAAAACGAACTCCTTTTGTCTACACAGTAGCGGTTTTTTCGTGCTTATGTAGATAGATTTTGAAACTGCTAGGTGGAACGACGATCGGGCTTTACCAATAATCCAAAACATGTCGCCATTATAGTTTTTAGCACAATCTGGGTTTTCTAGCAAATGCTGCCCGATAGCAGAATCGCAGGTTTTATTAGTAATTTTGGATTTGCAAGACCGAGGTGGCTGTTCTCTTTCGGGATGTGTTTTGTTTCTAATATTAGATGGAACGTGTTGTTTTATCCTATCCTCCAATCTTTGGGTGGTGCGTCCTACGTAGCCAGAATCACACTGGCACGTAAATTCATAAACAACAGAACTTTTTAGAGCTGAACATTTTCAAGCATTAAAATCTCTACGGTCTAATAATGACATCTTTATTACAAAGCCTGATAAAGGGTCAGGAGTGGTTATTTTGAACAAAAAGGACTACATCCAAAAAAATGGAGAATATTCTCCTCGACAAAGAAAAGTTCGAAAAATTGGGTGACGTCGAAACACAGGATAAAACGGCCAAGCTAGAGCGGAAACTTCAAAAACGCCTTTTGGAGCTGGTTAACTCAAAAGTATTGACCAACGAAGTTTATGATAGGATAAGACCCACAGGTTCACAACGTCCACAAATGTATGGCCTCCCTAAAATACACAAGCCGAATGTCCCACTTAGACCCATTTTGTCTATGATTGGCTCAGCACAACACGAACTGGCTAAGTGGCTTTCTGAAGTTTTGGACCCTGTTCTTCAAAAATATTCAAAACATTGTATCAAGGACTCTTTTACATTCGCTGAGTTCATGCAAAACTTGAACATCGAAAACGAAACATCTTTCATGTGTTCTTTTGACATTAGTAGTCTTTTCACAAATGTTCCTTTGAGTGAGACCATCAAAATATGTGCCGACGCTTTGTACCGGAGCGAACTTAATAACCCACCATTCCCAGAGGAAGTATTCATTGAACTGATGGAAACTGCAACACGTTCAGTTGAATTCAGCTTTAACAATGAAATGTACCAACAAAAGGATGGTGTCGCCATGGGTAGCCCTCTGGTACCTGCCTTGGCCAATATCTTTGTTGGCTTTCATGAAGAGCGTTTGTTTGACTGCGACCAAAAGCCAGGTGTCTATTTTCGGTATGTGGATTTTCGGGGTTATACACTCGATGGAGTTCGTTTTGCCCAAAACAAAGAAAAATCAGCCTCATCAAAACGCTCACACATAGGGCACTCATGATTTGTTCCAAGTCTAAACTCGACTCGGAACTTGAAAAACTAACTAAGATCTTTCTGGAGAACGGCTATCCAGAGGATGTTATTTCAGTTTACATTAAGGAGAAGATAGGAAAATTTCTCGGCTGACGTAAAATTTGGTCCTCAAAAGTGCCCGGTCTATCTAGAACTACCCTGGATCGGTAACAGCTCCCTACGTTTTGAAAGCCAAATAAAACAGGCCATAACAAATTGTTTCTTCGCGGTTAACCCACGTGTTGTTTACAGTACAAAAAAGGCCCTTCCGTCCATTCAAAAGGACTGCATTCCTGCCACAAAAAAAAGTTCTGTTGTTTATGAATTTACGTGCCAGTGTGATTCTGGCTACGTAGGACGCACCACCCAAAGATTGGAGGATAGGATAAAACAACACGTTCCATCTAATATTAGAAACAAAACACATCCCGAAAGAGAACAGCCACCTCGGTCTTGCAAATCCAAAATTACTAATAAAACCTGCGATTCTGCTATCGGGCAGCATTTGCTAGAAAACCCAGATTGTGCTAAAAACTATAATGGCGACATGTTTTGGATTATTGGTAAAGCCCGATCGTCGTTCCACCTAGCAGTTTCAAAATCTATCTACATAAGCACGAAAAAACCGCTACTGTGTAGACAAAAGGAGTTCGTTTTCACCTTAGAACTCCATTGGTAACATTCTAATAGGCAAGCAGCACTGATTGGTCAACCTTTACAGTCATGTGCTCGTGTTTCTGATTGGCCTATTTCGATCCACAACTGGGTATATATATTTCTTAGCGTAGAGTTTTCGTTCTATGTTCTGACGTTTTAAACTCTGAAGAGTGTCAGACGAAAAGCTTTAGTTTACTAAATGTTTGCTTTTTTCAAAGTCATTTACAAGTTTTGTACCACCAAAAGATTGTTTAAAATATTATTTGTTATCTTCTTGCCGAAGATTTCCCAAGTTCGTCTCTTTAACTAGATTTACATTTAAAAGGAGATTAAAACATAATGGTCTAACAATACAAGTTGTATTTACGAACTCCCTTTCGAAATAGCTTCTTCTTTGTTAACCTAGTTTCATCCACTTTAACGAGCCAAAATATGCTTCGATTCTTTGTTTTTTGCAAGTGTTTTTTTTATCTATAATACTCAAACATGTCTTTATGTAGACAAGGTAGATAGATAACATTTCAATGAATTGCACAAAAGAAAGTCAGCTTTTCAATATTGTAGAGTGCCAACTCAATAAGCACAAGAAATTTGAAGGGTTTAAGGAACCGTTAAGAAATCAATAATGCACTGTATATCTATAGATTTAGAAACATTTTCTTGCGCGACGGCTGGCAAAGTCATTGCTCAATTTCCCGGGAAAGATCAGAATAAAAATTATTGTGAGAATGATTCTTAAGTTAATTGTTGTAGGTCAAAATCTCACGCACGATCATCCTACAGTGTTGGTCAGTACAAATTGTGCTTATTTTACCATTGAATTTGAGAAATGTTTGGCAAAAAAACCGGAATTGCAGACTTCACTTGTTGTTTCCTAAACATCTTGCCATTTTGCTCTTATTTGCTATCATTTTGCTATTAGCTTTGAATTTTTTTTATCGCAAATGCCTTAAGACAAAAATTAACACAATTTCCTGCTCTTTATCCGGAATTATTGTGTTCTTAACAATATAATTACTTTGTTTATAAATGCATCATTTCTTACGTTAATATAATCTATATGTTCCTCAATTGGTCATAAATTGAATTTTATTAAAAATCATTCTTGCAATATAGTTAGATTACAAATCATTCTTGTAACATAGTTGCCAACTTTTTACCAGAAAAGTTCAGGGCAAACTTATCTGGTATCGGCGACAAAAAGCCATAAGTATAGATACTTTAGGCTTAAAAATTAGTATTTTACTTTCGCAAGCACCTAATTGTTAACGAGCTCCCCACACGCATAAAGTAAGTCCCCCAAGTTTAACAATCTTGTTTTACTACATTTTTAAAAATTATTTTCATTAAACAAGTACTGTAGATATTTCCATGAAATTTTCGTAAGACGGCGTCGAAGCCTTTTATGTACAAAAAACAAGAAAAACATAACCGCTAGAATTATTCAGCCTTTGAGACATAAACAGGAAAGTTCTTAAAGATAAAAAATTAAGTTTCGAGAAGCGCTCGCAAATTGCTTTCTGTGAAGAAACGCGAGTAGATTTCCTGAAATTGAATCAATTGTTGGCTGCCTTTTGGTGCAGCTTTTATGGTGTGGAAAGAAATTTTCCCTACAAAAGTGGTAAAAAATTTACCAAGGTTTGGCATACCGATAAAGTAATAAGACATTATACTGCCATGTAAAGAGAAGCTTAATTTAGAAACATAAGCAAAAAATAACTAAAATAGCAAAAAAATACAAATTTTCCAGCCTTATAAGAATAAAATGCTCTCTCACAGCAAAAGTTAATCGCCTCTTCTTAAGGGTAACGCAATTTTGAAAGTAGCTTGAGGAAAATTCATTACCTTGATGAAATTGTTACGTTTTCGCTGATTAGGTTATTTGAAACGTAAGGGTTTGATTTTGTAAACTTTTTGTAATTTTTTGCTATGCAAACGTGAATCTAAAGAATTGAATTCGTTTGGGCATCTCTAAAAAAATTGACAAGGCCGTACGAGTTTGTTTTTTATAGGCCAGCATAACCTTGCTATTCCGTTAAGGCATTCCTTATCCTATTGACTTAGCAGCCGGACCAACCTATTCAAAATGCTTAGAGCAATTACAACTATTATTTGAAATCAAATCGAACATATGTAGCATACCTTGTAGCGAATATACTACCAGCCTCGCCTGCTCTTGTTTCAATGCCGACGGCTCTGCCAACAAGATGCCACATTTAAGCGGGTTCTTATTGTGTAAAAAGGTATTTTAAATGAAAAAATAACATTCCTTTGGCATTTTTCAGTAACTATGTCAATGGTAATGCTTCGGTAACTAGCTATGTCATCAAAAGTAAGATCTGTTGATGGAAAAAGTCATGCTATTATTGTTTATTTTAATTTAGTTAAGCCAGTGTTGATACAAGCATTCACTTCAATTCAACAGGGAGCGCGGTCAGAATTCGGCATACCTGAAAACTAGAAGTTCTGCAAACAAAACTTGCTAGCAAAGGGCTAATTTTAATAGAAGATGATCTTTAGAAAGAGAGATACGAAGTTTAATAAATTTCTTTCAGGGTAATAACCTTTCAGGGTAAAAATTAGTTGATCATAGGTGTTACAGATTTGAATTACTCCTCAAAAAATGTTTTTTTACAAAAATAATACTGCTTAAAAAATGTTTTAGGTCAAATTTTACAGTGCGTGTGGCGAATTACTAGCATGCCTTGACGCTGCGCCACAATGCATTTCCTCGTGAATTTTACCATGTATAATCAGTAATTATACCTGTCATCTGGTTCTGAATATCAAGGCTTAGCTAGGAAATGTTTTAAGATTTGCTGTCGAGCCACTTTTTGAGTGGTGCATGGAACTTGGCGATAAGCGTTATCATTTCAAGAGACTATTCCTAGATTAAGGATGTGTTCATGAAAAGGTTCGCTTTGCAAAGTGATATGTCGCACTCCGTCAAAGATAATAGCAGCGATTTCTCTTGCTACTTCTTTCTCTTGCTTCATATCAGTCTCTATGTACTTACAGCCTCTAACTCCGTAAGCTAATAATTTGCTCATTGTTCATTGTTCTCCTACATATTGTCTTCCTCAGTTAATGCATTCTTGATTTTTTATGCTTCCTCTTTTAATTTCGAAAGCTGTCCTTAATGCTTGGCGCATCGGTACAGAAACTAAAATCAGTGAGAGAAGAGTGCTTTGATTTTCTGATAAAGTCTCTTTGATGTCGCTTTTGCACCAAAGGGACAAAAAATTATGGAATCAACTCCTCTACATTGGTAAAGCTAGACGAAAGAAGTGAGATAAATTAGATAAACAATTGTAAAAGACAAGGGCATTTTTTAAGGATTTTTGAAAATTGAGATAAATTTTTTATTGGATCCAACAAAAATGCGAATTAAGGTATGCATGCCATATAAAAAGAAGAGCTCGGGGGTCATATTTAAATGTTTAATAAAGCCTTTCTAGGTTAAAAAGACTAGTTTTGAAGAAAATTTAGAATTCTTCATTAGGCTTTTTTTTTTATTCTTTTGTTTATAAAAATTCAAGCACTGCTTGGCCTGGATTGCAGTTTCTGATCCACTATCAGAAATATGCAAGACGCTTTTCTTTTTCCTGAAAAATTTTTTATTCCAACTCACTAAGAGAGCCTCCTATATTTCTATAAAGAATATGAGACAAACTTTACGTGGAACTTCTAGAATCTATGATAGCAACATGGCCTTCGAAATAACCATAGCATAGCATAGCATGCGAATTAGACACTGTATCTTACAGATGTCAAGAAGTATGGAACTCAATTCCCATAGAAAAAACCTCAACCTCAAATATAAAAACGTTTAAAGCAAGTATCAAAACTATGTTTGCGATTTCTTACTCATGCCGCATTTGTAAACCATTTATAGGATAAGTGGGCTATATAAAATGACGGGGAACTTACTGTACATTGATGCATCTTATTGTTGCGTTGTTAAATACGGTTATTGTTGATATAATTAGTTGGTTTTAGTTAGCTTTAGTATAGCTAGTATAGTAGTGTACGTTTACCAACTCTAAAGAAAGTTAAGAAAAAAATTATCTTGTGAAGCTGTATATTTCTCCTTGAAAAAGACTAAGAGAAATAAACTTCAGGTGAATCTCATTTGAGCCATCTGTTTCCAACAAGCTAGTTCTGGTCCAACATAAAGGAAAGACACTAGATACAAGTCTGATCTTTAACAAACATTAAATGGATAGATCACGTCCAACAAAGTCCTTAATAAGTTTCCGCAGGCCCCTTTGTCTGTCTGTACTTTAACTAACTGTTTCTACACAAACAAGGATTTCTGTTGAGACACCAAGAGATTGAATGCAAGTCTTGAAAGATTCAAAACATCCATCAGTGTAACAAATATCACCTACTGATATTCAATGGAAGGGCGCGTTGGCAGTTATTTCATTTCTTGGAACAAGCCTGGCTGTGATTAATCTAGTCCATTCTTCTAGGAGCAAAGTCTAACAAATCCCTGTCAAGAATGTGAAGAACTTTGAAGGACTAATCACTTTTATAAATCCTTAAACGCCTGGTTTTATCCCAAACGCTTAATAATCTGCTAGAATGATGCGATGGTCGTGAGTCTAAGACATCTGCAGTCGCCATTTCGAATTCAATGTTTTTCAGTTCCACAATAGAACAAAAACAATCGGTAGTCAATCAACTACGGGCCATTGTACAGCTCTTACAAATATGGTATCATTTCCGAGTTCCAGATGCTGTTTTGACTGAGTTCCATCCGTGTTCCAAACAAAAATTTCATTGTTTCAATTCATTCACTTCCGAGGCACAAAACGTTTATTTCCGAGTTCTAGACTGCTGTTGTCCTCTAATCGGAAAATCGTTTCAAATCACGACAGAGAAGAAACTGGCAATTTTAAGATTTTGAAGAGACTGTGATAAAACTTTTTAGGTTTCAATTTTTTAATTTAAATATTACTTGTTTCAGGCAACACTATTTTTAGCTGTATGTTGGAAAACTGACTGAGTTCTGTGCATCAAGGAACTCACTCTGGATCCGCCTCTGCACTATAGATAAAAGAAACAATTTCACCTCGTTCAAACAAGTCATCTTGAATTTTGGTCTAGAATATTATTTGTCTTGTAAGCGTTTGCTTTCTAACTGCGATTTTTCCCGCTAAGCAAGACTGATACACTTTGGTCGATGAAAGGCCTCATTTGGACGCCCTTCTCTTTAGGAGCGGAAGTTGCGACACCAACGAGGTTCGCAGGCCTTGTGGTAGTTTTGAGAGTGGCGACGGGACTGGGGCCCTGAAACGTTCAAATTGTCCAGTCAAACATTTTCCCCTTTAAAAGGTTTTCCAAATTTCCCAGCAAATCCAACACGCGGATGAAACAAAATATCTTGAGATTCAGAAGTGTACACCTCCTGTGCACCTCTTTCGTATAGATAAAGAAAATTAGAAATCTTCTTTTTCACAATTTCTAACCTCATCCACTTTCTTCCCTTCCCTTGCCAGCAGTTGTGCGGCACAATAATCTAACATAGTATTTACACACTTTCAGTGCCGCACAAATATGTGAAAACTCGAATTTTGATTGGTGAGATTTAGTAAAATATTTGCATAACAAAGAGCCCTGCAAATTTGTGCGGCACGGGCGACATGCTTAAAAATCATACTGTTCACGGTCTAGGATGTTTTATGAATTTCTTCTATATTGAATAAAATCATAGCATTGTACATGAGGTGCGATCGACCCTGTTGGTCCTGTGTTTATTGTGTAAAGAGAGGTGAATGTATTATCTGTAAGGAAAAAAATAAAAAGGTTGTGGTAAACATGATTGCCTAATTTCAATGACTGAAGACGAAAACTAAATTCTGAAAATCTGACGGTCTTCCATGTGACCTGTGCGACACCCTGAATCTGCTACTGTGTCGTAGTATCTATCTTTTTACTTATTGATGTTTTTGTCACGTCCCCCTGAAAAGCAGTTCTCGTGGAGTGACGGGGCTAGCGTGCCTAAATAATTAAAAATGTAAGTGCAATGTGAAATTAACACATATGCCATTGATTGTTCAAATGATGTAACAAAGTGCTAAAAGCAGCCTCTTTGCACATAAGGTGCTAAATGGCAGCCAAGAAGATGATGATATCATATATGATGATTCTATAACAAGGCCGACAGCAGATGATTTTACTTATGCCATGGAAAGGGTTATTTCAACATTTAGGTAAAAGGGTTGCACTATTTCTAAAGGTATTTCTATAATCAGAAAATACCAGATATATAGCCACCCTTTCCTAGAATTTTCAAAATTTAATTGGTGGGTTATTGAAAAGTATCAGGTACGACCTGGCTTTTTATCAGATTCTTCATTTCCTAAGCCGGTTAAAATTGCGCTCTCATTAGTTTGACATCGTGGAGGGCTGATAGGGCATTTTCAAACCTTATATTGACCAAAGCAAGAAGATTGAAAGCTAAACGTCTTAAGAAAATAAATACTTAAATGCTTATGAAGGACTTCGCAGATATCGCTCCAAGTGAGCTGCTTAGTTTAAAACTTCTTAATTCGAAGTACTATAATGATATACAGATTTAAAAGCAGATTTTAAAAAAGGGTCTTTGGGCTCATCCCATTTACAATATAAAATGTGAAAAACAATTAGCCAGCCACAAAAAGCTTACATGTCTCTATAGCATTTGATTTAAAGCGACTACTGGCGCATACAAATGAAATCGTTTATTTGAAGTCCTTTCAAAAAAGAAAATTCTTAAAGTGGTGGTCGGCGAATACTGTATTTGCCATCTTTAATATTAAAACCCTCTTAACTATTTTAGTCCTATGTAATATTTTAGTCTTCTAAATATTGCAGTCTTCTTAAATGTTGGAGTCGTCTTAAAACATTATTGCCCTCTCAACATCTTAGTCCACTTAAAGTAGTAGTCCTCTTGAATGATTTAACTTGCAAAATATTATACTCCTCTCGAACATTTCAGTCCATTTAAAAACTTTATACTGTGCGAAACACAATCTAGTATATATTAGGGACATGATGTATATTTATTGTGTATGTTGTATATATATATTTAGTAAATTGATTGTAGTTTTGAAGATCGTCCGGAAACTTGAAGCTTCGTTGACAAATTCATCGTTTCTACAACCGGTCTTTTAAGCGAGTGCTGGAACATTTTGTCCGATATGACAACTGATTGTCCGAATTACCAAATGAAGGAAGGTGGATGAATTTTCATATTAAAGTGCACAGTTTGTCTATAGAGGCCAGTCCAAATATTTCCTTTTTTGAAGACACGTAGTAGTTCACTAATTCTTTAACGTTTCTATAATGCTTATCTTGTTGCTCCTTGCATCTTTTGTCCCAAAGCCATTGATAAGTTTCAAAGGAAAAAAGATTGTAATGCGTGTTATTCCTTAGCCATCTTTTGCAGTTTTCTGGACATACATCAAATCCAGCTGAATAGCAAAGTCCCTCTTTGATGAAATTGTCTATGCTTTCTTTAGGAGGCTCCCTTTTGTCATAGATTTTACCATTTGTTATTGTGTACCTTAGGTGGATTGATGATCTTGGCATCGGTACCAGCATCTTTGGTGGCATATTAGATCGATAATAGTCTGGTGACACTTGACTGGAAGACAAATGTTCTCCTGTCCAATCACCATTTGGGACCATCTGCAAACGCCATGAATAGGCATCTCTGTGGTAGTACCAAATATAATTGCACATTATGCTAAATTGACAGATACAAAGTGTTTCATTTCCTGCAGCGGAATTCTTGAAAACTAAATCGAAATCTGTGTTATGGCTTCTTGCAAGAAACTCCCTCATTTCTTTCATATGTTCTGTTTTGATCATGACAGGGAAAGTGGACATGCACTGCATAACTTCCTTTTTGCCAAGAAACAACTCTGTTGTCTCTGCCCAACATTGGTATGGAACTTGGCCAATCTTTGCGATAATGATTGGTTTTCCATTTTCAAATAGCAACTGCGGTGTTACTAAGGTGCTAAAAAATGTATCAGTGTCAACGTACCCTACGTAAGAGACATTGGTACATTCATCGGGATACATCATGTCCCAAAACATCCTGGCCTTGCCCCTCCCACGGTAAGCATCGACGGCACTTGGGTCTCTGTAGCATACTCGTGGATAAGGCCATTCTCCTTTTATTTTGTCACCAAACAAATGGTCTTCATCTTTCTCATTGTCCAACACAACTAAAAGTTTGGCTCTCTCATAAGGAAAGAAAAGGTTCATAGTGCGAATCAAATCATTTCTATACTCTTGTTCCCATCGTAAACCAGATGTTAGCCTCAAGTAGAGCACAAATTCAGGGACACCATCCCACGGGTTTCTTGCAGGAAGGATCCTTTTAACAAGCGGTTGGACATGATTTAAACCGTTTGCATCTTTGGTTTTGGAACTAAGCAGAAAGGTGCCAAATGCAACGAAGATTGTTGCCAGTAGCAATGCCAAGTGAAACAACTGCATGGCTGTTGTACCTATAAAAGGAAAGAAGCATAGTTTGAGTAAAACATTTCATGTTGTCATCATATCATTACTGACAATTATACTATCTGTCGCTGTTTAGTCGCAATTAAAAAGATTACATTATACACAAATGGAAATCCAACAAATGACTTGCTTTAAAGACATTGTAAGTGTGGCCTTTGGTTGCATACGAGTATGGGTGGGTTGAGTCTTTAACTGCAATATCGAACGCTTTTGGTGCTAGAATAGCGAAAATGATACATATCACAAAAAAGGGGAATCAACTAAAAAGACCTAAACAGAGCATGGTAAAACCAATCAACTACATTTACAATTGAATGTGTTGACATGGAAAACAAAATTTATTATGAACATCTCCAAGGAAAATCTATAAGCAATTTACAGAACAGAAAAATTTATAATACCAATTTAGGTTGAATTCAAAGAAATCTGTACGTAAAAACTAAATTTGGTTTTTGTAAATTACTACATCGATGGATAGACGAATCGATTGGTAAATAGAAATGTTGTTAAAAAATGGAAATTGCTTTTTACCGGTCTTTTGCTGAATTAAAGGCAGTGTACACGTTTTCATGTATAGAACAGGACCGTTAAAGCGATCATTAGGCAAGTACTTATCGGGAAAGGGAGTAGTCGCTGGCACTTGGTTTCAACTTTAACCCCAGGCAGTTAATCGGTCAAGATAGATCTCAAATATTGAGAGGCAAATTTGCTTGAATCTGCCAGAAAATTATATAAAGTTATAGAAAGGCAACTAATCAGTCCGATACCAGCTAGGAAAATTTTGAGGCATTGATTCTGGATGAATTATTCTGACTAACTCTGGATGATCAAATCTGGAAGGCCAGAGGCGGATTCACACTGACTCCCTAGGTGCACAGAACTAAGTCAGTTTTCTAAAATGAATTTTCAATATTCAGACTTTTGGAAAGGCAGCTTGATAACGAAATTTATAACCAGTACCACGACAAAAAAAGACATGGCAGTTCTTTTAGCTTGAATCGATTCGAAAACTCCTTATTACATTTTAATAGATGAAACCAGTATATACTGAAAATCCGATTCAATTAGATAGTCCAGTTAAAAAGTTACAAACCCTTTAATTAGACATTTCCAATAGATAAACGTTTCAACTCTAGTTAGAGTCATCCTCAGTATATAAAACTACAGGCGAAAAAACTATAAGTACGGATACGGAAAGGCTAAACATAGAGGATCATAAATCACGTGATCCAGTAGTACGCTGGAGGAGTAATCAGGACGCGAGAGAAGACACAAGGAATGATAAACAACCTAAAAGATTTTGCAAAATTTGTAAGTGGGATGATGAGGAGAATTTGTTACTCAAATGCGACCTATTTCTCAAAGATAGACATCACTGACGTAGAAGTTATAGAAACAGGCTAATAATACTTGGTGTGTGAATAATGAAAAGGCCGCAATAGCAGGAAGCTCGACGGACTCGGATAAAATTTTTGAGGCAAGATATCGATTAAAATGTAGTAAATAAGAAACACCGCAACGCGCCGAGAATATACAACAATAAACACACATAGAAATCAGTAATGGCCAATAATTCGCCCCGGCAAACGGGGCTTCATCACAGCAAAAGTAAACGGACTTGAACTTCATCAGAGCAGTTACACGTGAAGAAGTTTTATGCGTACTTTTTGGTTTGTAAATTTAGTTTGGCGTGAACGAGCGCTGTAGTTTCGCATATCTACCAACAATCCTTCAAGATGCAACAAAATATTATTTGTTATCTTCCTGCCGAATATTTCCCAAGTTCGTCTCTTTAACTAGATTTACATTTAAAAGGAGATTAAAACATAATGGTCTAACAATACAAGTTGTATTTACGAACTCTCTTTCGAAATAGCTGACTACCGCCGAAATGAGATAGAGGGTCGACCACACCCTTTGGACCACACCCATTTCCTGGTCACACCCAGTTTTCTAAAATTATTATTGCTTTCTTTAATTTCTTATGTAGACCAATTTCATGAGACAAGCGGTGCTTTACTGAAATTATGTATCCTTACAACAAGCTTGAGAAGAAATAAATAATCTTATTCAATATGGATGGATATTCTGAAGAAATTTACCGCATTTAGACGAGGAACACCATAAAATTAGAAAAAAAGATACATTTGGCAGAATTTTGAAGTGTCGCCTAAAACTCGCATTTAGTCACACAATTACTTATAAAAATCAGACCTGTTGGAAATGATAAGTTTAAAAAGCCAGATAAAATTTGCAATTATTGAGGGCAACTTTTGTTAAACAAAGAATCATACTTTTGGCGAACATTTTGGGTCTGACTTTTACTCCTGATGCCTTCCTAAATTTTATAATATTCGAGTCTTAAGCCCCGGCCAAACGATTCGATTTTTCACTCGATTTTTTGCTCAACAAAAAATCGAGTCAAAAATCGAGTCGTTTGGCCACCTTGTCGAGCGAGTCGAATGGCGTCGAGTGATGTCGAGTGAAGTTTGATCGCGATCAAAAAAGTCGAGTGAAAAACATGTTGTTGAATGAAAATCGAATCGTTTGGCCACCTTGTCGAGCGAGTCGAGCGAACGCATGCGCAATAACCCGTTTTTACGCGGGAATTATTTTTGCAGCGAGGAGACAAGACAGACATTTTAATTATGTAAAAGTTTGGATCGCTGGTGAAAATTTAAAGGCCATGAACAAAACGAAGCAAGCAAGAATGCAACACGGCGAATATAAAATTACTGAATTCTCTGAATCGGATTCATCTTTGGGAAATGATGAAGATTATGGCAGCGATTGCGATGAGTCACGGTCTAGGTCTACCAGCCCTACTCGCGGTGAGGATGATAGCGATAAAGTGATAACAAGACTGGAGCAGCAGCTTGCAAAAGCAAAAGTTAAGAAATTTGTTAGGCAAGCAAAAGTTATGCAAGAGACAGCTTCCTCTGATAATTCAATTGGCATCAGTGATAAGCACCCAAACCCCCAAAAAAGAACTAAACAAGATCAGAAGGTATGCAGAAGTGCAGATGGGAATTTAGCTATGAAAAGAAAAAGGAAACATCCCAGTGCAACTTGGACTGTTGACAAGGTCAACCACCTCATTGATTTAGTGGAGGAAAGAACTTGTCTTTGGGATATATTTAGCCAGACATACCATGACAGGGAGAAAAAACAAATTGCTTATAATGAAATTGGAGATGAACTTGACATATCAATTGAAGAAGTCAAGACAAAAGTGATGAATCTGAGAACCCAGCTAGGAAGGGAATTAGCAAAAGTCAGAGAAAAAAAGTCTGGTCAAAGCACATCAGATCTTTACAAGCCAACCTGGACTTACTGGGAAAGATTACAGTTCCTATGCCCAGTGATGAACCCTGGAAAAAGCAAAGACAACCTCTCCCTTAGCCCAACTTCAGATGATGGAAAGGAGGACATGAAAGGCTTTGAAACAGAGAAACAGCCCCCAGCAAATAATGGCAAGCATCCTAAGTCTACTGCAAGAAAAGGAATCATGGAGCAAAAGCAAGAACTGATGGTCAAATACAATCAAACATTCTCTGCTTATTGGAAATCCTTGTTTGTGCCAATTACTGCTCCCAGTTGAATGATTTTCTATGTCAGAAAATTAAGGAAACATATTTGAATAATAATTGCATGCAACTTTAACTAGAGTTTAGAGAAGATAACAAAAAAGATGTACTGCAGTCAGTTTCATATTTATTAAAAAAAGAATTTAGTAAATCAGCTATAATTTACTCCATTGCCAACTTATGGCACCCTCATAACAAAAATAGTCTTTTAAAGTTTCTCTTATTGCCTTTGCATTACTAGAAGCATTGTGACCAGAAGAAGGAGCCTGTAATTTAAACATAGACTCTGTTGGGGGGTTTGCATGCCATCTACCACTTGTTAGATTACCAGTTTTATCAACCATGTCAGCCAGGCCAGGAGGACAGTACACATTTCTTGAGCTACTTTTTCTTAAAAAGTTATGCAGTGTCAGTGTTGCCAGCACAAGATGCTCTATAGTTTCTGGAGGCAACAGTATCACTGATCTGAAAACACGCCAGCGATTGGCTAATATACCAAATAAATTCTCAGATATATGCCTTGCTCTGCTGTGTCGATAGTTATAAATCCGTTTATCCTCTGTGAGTCCTGTTTGTGGATATGGCTTCATCATGTTAGGTTTTAAAGCAAATGCACCATCCCCAACAAAGACAAATGGAACCACCTTTTCACTCAATGGAAGGCAGCTGGGGGCAGGTAATGAGAGCTCCCCAGTTTCTATTTTTTTGGATAATGTGCATTTATTCCAGACTCCTCCATCACTGACTCTACCATTTGTTCCAATATCTGCATAAATACACTCATAGTCAGGCCCAGCAACAGCCATAAGAACAATTGAATGAGTGTGTGTATAATTATAAAACTTTGACCCAGCATTTGCAGGTGGCTGCATAACAATATGTTTTCCATCAACAGCCCCAATGCAGTTAGGGTAATTCCATCTTTCTCCACATTTTGCTGAAATTACTGACCATTCTTTCGTCGTGTTTGGGACAGTCATATATTCAGCTAAATGAATTCTAATTGCCTTGCAAACTTGTACAATTATGTATGATATGGCTGCTCTGGATATCCTGAATTGGAAACAAAGTGATCTATAGGTTTCGCCAGTGGCAAGAAATCGTAACGTTAATGCTAACCTGGCCTTGGCATTGATTATTTCGTGTCCACCAATTATTTGATTCGGGGTTATATATTTTTCTATTTTTATCAGAATATAATTGTAATCTTCTTTCGACATTCGAATCATTTCTCTAAAGCTGGAAGTGTCCTCGGCACTCAATTCTGCAAAAATATTATCAAAACATCCCTTTTCTCCTCTTCTTCTCATCCAACTTCTAGTCTTTACTCTCTTGGCATTACCGTCCAACTCATCTTTGTCTTCCAAAACTTCCATTAAGATAAGCATGGCAGCCGCTTTGCGTTTCTTGGCCCCATTTTAAATCGCAGAGTTTAGGATTTGGCGCGTTTTTGCATGGGAAAGAGGCTTCAGAGGCAATTGAGTAAAAAATCGAGTGAAAAATCGAGTGAAAAATCGAGCGGAAAATCGAATCGTTTGGCCAAGGCTTTAATATTCTTATGAAATATATTCCTACGAATAGTTGTGTAATGTAAAAAATAATGGGTCACATCGGCTTTGAAGTTACAGTTTGCCCACTTGCAGAATATGTAGGCATCCCCCCATCTTTCTGTAACGTTTGAGCCGTGTTGAGCGGCAGTACTACTCAATCCCCCATCTGAGCGGTAGTCAACTCGGTTGTTCATTGGTTGTCAACAAAATTTGTATGCATCCCCCCAGGTCTGCTGTGATTTCTTTTGATTTGATTGGTTTAGGCAGGCTGACTACCGCTCAGTGCAGCTCGAATCCGCTCTACACCGACTCAACCCCCCTAGCTAGCAAGCCATGATTTCACCATCCCCCATGCCTTTTATTTGCAAACATGTGGCACGCAATTTCCATAGCAATAAGGATTAAAAAATATTTTTTTCTCTGTAGAAATTTCAGGCATGTTTCTAGTGAGGAATGCTTGGTTTCCAGCGCGATCAAAAAATTTTCAATTTTTAATTTTGGTTTAATTAAAGTAGTAGGATAAACATGAAAATGATCCTTGTTTCTATAATTTTTTGAATAATCTGACTACCGCTCGAGCGGTAATGGCGGTAGTCTGGATCCGCCACTGCAGGGGGGTTCTTCTACAGGAAATTGAGAATGTTCTGTGTGCAAGGTTAGTTTTGAGGACTTTCAGTGTAGCCAAGGGTCTAATTTTTTTTGTAACTATGGTCAGGGCCGCGGAGAGAATTTATGGGCCCTGGGTCAGGACAAAAGATATATAGTAAAACATGCCTAAGGCAGATACTTCTAAGGGGTACGGGGAATGCTCCCCCTGGAATTTTTTAAATTGACGATTGCTTAAATTGCTATGGTGGCTAAACTGCTTTGGTGGTAGTGGCGTAGATAGAGGGGGGTCAGAGGGGGCGAAAAACCCTTGTAGAGCTTAACTGCTAAATTATCGGAAAACCTCTGGTCTTGTCGGAAATTTAGCATGGTTGTCTAAGTTTATCTAACTGCTATGTTTTTATAGGAAAGAATTTAAAGCTAAATAAACATAAGAATATCTATATATATCAAAAAAAATTTTATTCCAGTTTCGAAGTCGTTATGCTATGTTAAAATTTATGAAAAATATAAATGCTTGTTAGATTTTTGGCGGAAAATCAAAGTTTCTCACCCTCCTACGAATTTTCCTATCTAAGCCATTATCTGGGGGCTATTTATTACTTCTGTTTGCTGTTTAATATAATTTGAGCAAAACTGATATCTCAACACCATAATGCATAAAAATGAAATTTTCTTAGAAATTTTGAAAGTCTTATAAAATGGAAAATGTTTAATTCGTTAACTAAATTTGATCACAACCGACACACTGTTGCAAATAGATGCGCATGCCATAGTGTAAATACTGTATGTTGCCCTCTTTCAATCACATTTTCTAGTTACATTCAGAAGCATTTCAACCTCAAAGATGAAAAATTCTCAACAAAAATATATTTAGCACTCAGGCAGTCAAAGACTCAAGCTGCTTCTACCTTACTTCATTCATAGACTTTTGTCACGATTGTTTTTGATTGAATTGTTTTTTATGGGCCCCTATAGCCAAGAGCCCCCGGGTCAGTGACCCCCCTGACCCCCCCTCTCCTCAGCACTGACTATGGTCAAGCAAAGGTATAATTTTCGACAATGTTGGCTAGAGAACAACCATCAAAGGTAGGAGTTTCTTTCTGACAACTCATTTTTGTTAATAATAAGCTACACGCACGTTGAAACAGTATCGGGGGACCAACTTAAACATTCTATGGAAAAAATTTGAAAAGATTTTTAAAAATCATTTTCATTAAACAAGTACTGTAGATATTTCCATGAAATTTTCGCAAGACGGCGTCGCAGCCTTTTATGTACACTCCCCTCACAAAAGTATTGCACCACCTCGAAGGAGGGAAAATGGCGCAAGAATTATCGAAAAACTATTGCTGCGCGAATTGATTGTTTTTATGTGGCGAATGGGAGTGTATCGGAAGTGAAACAACCACCAATCAAAACTTCAATCTTTTTAGAGCACTTTTTTTAAAATAACAGTTTCAAAACGTCTTTTAACAGTTTCAAATTACAATATTTTGACGGGAGCTATGAACTTTTGAAACCGCTTTATGCCTTCTTGAATTGGTTGCATATAATTGGGCAATGTATTACTGTGGAATTTCATTCCAAACCTGAAGAATTCTTTTAATTAACGACTATTTGGTTCTTCAAGAACCTTTTAAATCATGGTTCGTAATGTTTTTGATACGAAGCCAAACATTTTCAATGATGTACAAATCTGGACCTGAACGACGCCACGGAAAAGCTTGAAATCTTCTTGTTCGGAAATAAATCGTTGTAAAAATGGTTTCCCTTTAGGCAGGTGAATTTTTATTTTATATTTGTGTAAGACCCACATTATTTTTTGTTTGGAAGAATTTTGAGCTGCAAAACATTGCTCAGCGTCAAGTTGCATGTCTTTTACTGTCCCTTGGTGTAAACATGTGTTATGACCGGGCAGAACGGACAACAGAAACAGACGTGTCTCTAGTGCATATTCCGATTCTCTAATCTTCGAACAATCACGGTTTTCCAATTTATTGATAAACGTGACATGTCATCACATGACGAGCACAAGCAATACGTCATTAACTAGCATTGCCTAATGACACCATTAGAAAACTCATGATTCTACAGATGTGCCTTCGAACATGACATCACATGCACACATCCCTCTCTCAATGAAGAGCAAGCCTAATGAGAAACATAATCACCATACCTTAAAGGGGGATTAACAACCTGACGTAATCTTGGGGGGCGTACATAAACTTGATTTCTTATTTCCCCAGGGTTTTCGTCCGAAAACTAATTCATAGGGGGAATACCCGGTTGTTTCATGCCGGCTGGTATTATACGCATAAACAGCCTGATCAACATACAAGTCCCAATTTTCAGGATGTTCACTCACGAAAGAAGACAAAATTTCCTGCAATGTCCTATTTTGCCTTTCCACTTGCCCATCCCCTTGTGGATGATATGCAGTCGTACGGGATTTCTTTATTCCCATAATTTGACAAATTTCGTGCATTAAGTTGCTCTCGAAATTTTGTCCCTGATCAGAATGCAATATATCGGGGGGACCGAAACGAGAAAACAACTTTGAGACTAAAAGCCTAGCTACCGTTTGTGCTTTTTGATCTTTAGTTGCAAATGCTTCGCACCATTTAGTAAAATGATCTCCGACAACCAACAAATGTTTATTACCCCTTGATGTCTCTGGAAGTGGGCCCATATAATCAATAGCCCAAAATACGAAGGGTTCACCTACCAAAATGGGCGTAAGTGGAGCTTTCCCTTGGTTAGGTAACAGTTTACTTTGCATACATTCTGAACAAGATATGATATAGTTTTTCACGCACTCTTGCATTTTTGGCCAAAAGAAGCGTTGCTTAATACGATATAAAGTACGTGTAATTCCCATATGACCCCCAGACGGCCCGGAATGAAGGCTATGTAAAATTTGGCCTACGACAGATTGTGGAACGACAAACACACGTCGGGGCACTTTTTGACCTGTCGAAATAGCTCTAACAAGCAAGCCGTCTGAGAGAAATAATTCATCCCAACAATACCACAAAGTGCGCAAAATTTCGTTTTTCTTCCATACAAAAAGAGGGGGTTTAGGTAGCCGTTGTTCCTTATAAGCTACAACTAAAGCAATGTCTGAGTCATTTAACTGAGCTTGGTGCAAATTCAACTCAGGTGTCAACTTGACAAAACAAGTAGTATACTTGTCAGACATTTCTTCCACCCTATCCCTATCTGCGGTATCAACTAGCCGAGACAGCGCATCAGCATTAGCATTTTCCCTCCCAGGCCTATGGGATATTTCAAATTCAAACTCCTGTAAACCCATTATCCAGCGTGCTATCCTACCTTTAGGCTCAATTTTATGTAGCCAGGTTAGGGCATTATTATCGGTAACAAGTTTAAATTTCTGGCCAAGTAAATACACCCGAAAGTGTTGAGTAGCAAAAACAACAGCTAAGGCTTCCTTCTCCAAAACCGAATAATTTCTTTCCCTCTCAGTCAAAGCACGACTAGCGTAAGAAATAACACGCTCATCTCCAGAACTATCTTTCTGGGTTAATACAGCTCCCAACCCAACATTTGAAGCATCTGTCTGTAAAATAAATGGTGCATCTAACTGAGGGTAAACAAGTATTGGGGCATTACACAACTGCCGTTTTAATAAGTCAAAAGATCGCTGATGAACCGTTAACCACTGAAATTTGCAACCCTTTTTGGTTAAACTCGTCAATGGGGCCGCAATAGTTGCAAAATTGGGAATAAATTTTCTGTAATACCCAGCCAATCCAAGAAAGGATCTCACTTGTTCCACATTATTTGGGGGGCACATTTTTTGAACTGCTTCAATTTTGCCCGGTTCAGTATGAATTCCCTCCGCAGAAACAGTATGACCTAGATAAACAACCTTATCTGCACCAAAAAGACATTTAGAAGCTTTAACTCTTAAGTTTGCCTTTTGTAGTCTCTCTAAAACCAATTCTAAACGCTCGCAGTGTTGATTTATATCTATTGACGGAATAATTATATCGTCAAAATAACACAGACAACTTTCGTAATTTAACCCTGACATTATAATTTTCATGGCTCGGTCAAACGTTGACGGAGCTCCACACAATCCAAAAGGGAGGCGAACGAATTCCCACAATCCTTGAGGAGTAACGAAAGCTGTCTTATGCCTATCTTTCGGGTTGACATCAAGCTGCCAATACCCTGAGCGTAGATCTAAAGTACTAAAGTACTTATAACCCTGAAGAGAGTCTAAAAGGTCATCGACTCGTGGTAGAGGGCGTGCATCTCGCTGAGTGACTGCATTAAGGCGTCTATAGTCAATACAAAATCGATAACTACCGTCTTTCTTCTTAACCATAACAATTGGGGATGCCCATGCACTAGTACTTGGCTTAATAACCCCTTGTTTTAACATATTCGCGATTTGCTGTTGAGCATCTTCCCTGTATGCAAATGGAAGACGTCGGGGGTGCTGGCGAATAGGGGCTGCATTCCCCGTGTCAATAGAATGAGTAACAACAGAAGAATGGCCTAAAGTATCCTCAAATACCTCTGAATACCGGTATAGCACATCCAGAATGGAAGCCTTTTGCTCAGGCAATAGAGAGGAACTTATTGCCGCGGCGAGCTCTTCGTGAGACTTATCACCACTACTAAATGTCGCAGCACTACAACTCGAGGTGCCCAGTTCAACTCCTTGACTAACAAGGGGGCAAAATTCAGCAATCTTTTGCCCTGCTTGAAGCTCAACTTCTTTAGTATGATTATTTAAAAGTCGAACAGGTACAACACGATTGTTAGCAGAGCAAACTACATGAGCAACATGGACTGTGGGAAGGGAGGATGGGTCACAATTCGATGTTATCATACCTACCAAATTTTTGGAACTTCTTGAAATACTGCACTTGATGACAAGTTCTGACATTGGAGGCACAACTATAGCACTAGTTAATTTAACAGGTACTGGGCCTAAAGTAGATGACTGAAATAAAGTTTCGGAAGACCCTTTACTGTTTTCATAAACAGGGGTTAAGGGTAAATTTCCATGTGGACCAGATAAATAATAAATTCTTCCATCATTAACTAGTTGCAATCGATTTGCTTGAATAAAATCCCAACCCAAAATACATTGCAACGGTGATAATATATTATCGCAAACAACAAATCGATGAAAGTAAGAAACACTACTGTCATGTAAAGTAACACTACCCTCGAAAACTCCTGTTATATGCAGGGCTTGACCTGTCACGGAAATGCACCGATCGGAGGCAGTACTGCTGAAAGTTCCTACATCTCCCCCCTCAAGCTTGTTTAACTTTTGTTCTACAATAGCAGCATAAACAGATTTACTCAAAAAGGACTTTGCAGATCCAGTATCAATTAAAGCTTCGACCTGCAACCCATTTAACAAACACTTAACAAAGGGCTGGGTAAGAGACTGGATAGACTGTTGATTACTACAAACAGTACTGTCTCCAATTATATATAATCCGGGGTGACCATCCCAGCCTTCTATTGGGCCACCCCTTTGGAGTTTAAAGTCGACACAAATCGGTTCGGAATATTTTTTACATTAGCAACACGATTACCTTCCTTAGTATTCGGATTGTCAACAACCCAGTTATTCGCACATTGCGAAGCAATATGTCCCGAGCCATTGCACATCTGGCATTTGAACGAACCATCAATGGGTCCTTGTTCCCTGCTTGTGCGTTTTAGGGGGCAATTTCTTGCTATGTGACCCTCTTTAGAACAAAAGTAACATGTCACACGGCGTACTGGCTGTTGACGTCCAGCAAATTGGGAGGTCGGTTCTTTTTTTTGAACAGTGGCTACGTACAAACTATTGTTCATTTTCAGCTCCTCTACTGCAGCTGTTAGCTTGTCCAGCCGTCCCTCAATAGATGTCGGTGAAGGGACGACATCTGTGGCTGCAAACAAACCAGGGTGAGGTCCATGATTGTCACTTATCGCCAGAAACTGTTTGGAAAAGGAGAGCATATCATCCAACTTCGGGGTCGGGTTATGTTCAAGAAGTTTATAACGAATGGTATTGGGAAGTCCCTTCATAAATTGTCGGGATAACAAGGCAGAAGTGGCAGCTTTTTCCAAAGTCGGATCCGCCTTTTTCAGCAATTCCTGAAGAGACCACAGAAAAACACTAGGATCCTCACCACTACGCAAAACACGATCTTCAAATTCTCGAAAATAGCCTTCTCGTCCGACAGCAGGACACAAGGCAGTCTGGAGACTGGTTGCTAAATGTGCAAACGTATCTTTTTCATCATCGGATAATGTATGAAAATACGTAGCCGCCAACCCTCGCAAAAATGCCGGCAGCTTTTGCAACTTTTGGTCGTCTGTCCAGCCATTAGCGGAGGCACAACAATTAAATTGGCGAAGCCAATTCGGGAAATCACCAGAATCAAACTTTTCCGGCAAAATGCTACTCGCCATTGCTTTTACCTCTGTCACCAATTTGTTATGACCGGGCAGAACGGACAACAGAAACAGACGTGTCTCTAGTGCATATTCCGATTCTCTAATCTTCGAACAATCACGGTTTTCCAATTTATTGATAAACGTGACATGTCATCACATGACGAGCACAAGCAATACGTCATTAACTAGCATTGCCTAATGACACCATTAGAAAACTCATGATTCTACAGATGTGCCTTCGAACATGACATCACATGCACACATGCACACGTTACACATGGTGAAATAAAACAGACAAAATCGCTACCCCTCTAACGTCAATTTTTTTTATTAACCAACTTCTCCGTTTATTACTACTGAAGCACTCTTGAGAAACCTTTTTTTATTCATTGAAGCTGTTGTGTGGCTGCATCTAACATGTTCAACAATTTTTCAAAAACTAAAGACCACTTTCCTGTAAAAATATTGTAGGGACTCGCATCTCATTTGACAAATTTTATCCCTTTGGCGTGGTCTACACTTTTTCAAACAATATTGTTTTTGCGTAAAATTTACATTTCTAACTAGGTTTTCTATGGCGTCAGCAAAATTTGCAAACTTTTCCCGCCGAAATTTGATATAAAATATGCCTATTTCACCCAATTCATGCATTCAAATGTTTTGTATTATAAAAATATTGACAAAAAATGCCGCCATTTTGAACAAGGTGGTGCAATACTTTTGTGAGGGGAGTGTACAAAAAATAAGAAAAACATAACCGTTAGAATTATTTAGCCTTTGAGACGTAAACATGAAAGTACTTAAAAGTCAAAAATTAAGTTTCGAGAAGCGCTCGCAAATTGCTTTCTGTGAAGAAACGCGAGTAGATTTCCTGAAATTGAATCAATTGTTGGCTGCCTTTTGGTGCAGCTTTTATGGTGTGGAAAGAAATTTTCCCTACAAAATTGGTAAAAAATTGGTTGGCATACCGATAAAGTAATTAGACATTATACTGCCATGTAAAGAGAAGCTTAATTTAGAAACATAAGCAAAAAAATAACTAAAATAGTAAAAAAATACAAATTTTCCAGCCTTATAAGAATAAAATGCTCTCTCATAGCAAAAGTTAATCGCCTCTTCTTAAGGGCTACGCAATTTTGAAAGTAGCTTGAGAAAAATTACCTTGATGAAATTGTTACGTTTTCGCTGATTACGTTATTTGAAACGTAAGGGTTTGATTTTGTAAACATTTTGTAATTTTTTGCTATGCAAACGTGAATCTAAAGAATTGAATTCGTTTGGGCATCTCTAAAAAAATTGACAAGCATAACCTTTATAGGCCAGCATAACCTTGCTATTCCGTTAAGGCATTCCTTATCCTATTGACTTAGCAGCCGGACCAACCTATTCAAAATGCTTAGAGCAATTACAACCATTATTTGAAATCAAATCGAACATATGTAGCATACCTTGTAGCGAATATACTACCAGCCTCGTCTGCTCTTGTTTCAGATTTTCTTTTGGAAAGGGCAACGTCAAGTGATCATGCTTTCATCCTTCTGGAATTGAAAAGACATCTAATCCTACCACTACCAGGCAACTTCTTGTAGTTTTTTCGAAACTAAGGAAGATTCGAAACTTAGACAAAAGGTTCGAAAACCGTCGAATTCCACGTTCTACTGACGTTGATCGGGTTTGCATTTTAAGCCATCCTCCTCCAATAACTGTCGAATCGATAGAGTATTGCCCAGGCAATAAAAGCATAGTAAAAAATATGTTACGCATGCTTGAGTAGACAGACATTCGCGCGTGACCTGTGATCAGCATTTCTCACGGCGTGATTGTGTGAAAATGATTCCTGCAAACAAGTTTCAACAAAACAGACACCAAAATAATTCAAAGAACGAAGTCATCCAAATTGAAACTGATGTTCAGCTGTAATTGTACGAGAGTGAATCCTTAAAGGTAATGTGTCCATCAGTGGCGGGGTGGCTATGTTTTCCCTGGGGTGGCCAAGTCAATTTTTGCGCCCTATCTATATATCGTGGTTATGTAAAAGCATGTGTTTCTAGAAGGGAAATCGATTTTTGCAACTTGAATACAAAGTTGCATGAATATATTTTGACTTAAAATACGAATATGAATGGATAATTTATGTAACCCTAACACTTGACCTTCCGATCGTGGTTCGGAAAAATATCAGGCTACTTTGAATTGGCTTATTTTCCACAGTCGGCCTATTTTCGAGGAAAAAATACTGTAGGGATAACATAAAATACTAATCAAAAGACATTATATTCAATTACACTAATGTTTCATACAGGCTACTCGTTTATTATATCCAGAATACAAGCTTCAGAGTAAAATAACGTAGAGCAAACTTTTGTTTCGGGTTCCTTAGTTTTTTTAACCAAAAGTAACCTTAGTCCATTTCGCCACTGCTTGTGGGCGATTTTATCAGCCTAGTGTCATCGTATACATGATGTATGATATACAAATATGGCCTCAAGTTTGTTATTCTTTAATAGTTTTTAAATAGTAGTAGTCTTTCAAAAACTTGAAAGTTTCAAGCATTGAATCACACTATTGAATCGGACAGAGGCAGCGCGCTAAGGATCAAGTTTAGTTACAAAGGAGGATCCACCATGGTTGGGTCCGACGCTAAAGAAAATTTTGGAAATCAAGCCTTCTAGGATGGAAAATGCATCTCCCAGGCTAAAATTTAACAAATTACTACACCGCTCAGAATAGACAGCTCGACGGTGCTCAGAAAAACATCGATTTTTGATTTTTAGAAAAAATTTGGGAGGGGAGGACTCATGCGTTGGATAAAGAAATAAATGGCGACCTTTGGTTCACAACGATGTTAATAACTAAGAAGTTGCTGTATTGATTGCCAGGGGTATTCAATGTACTTAGGCCCGAAGATCTGTGGCGTACCATCAGACTTTTTTGCGTTCGGAGTGCAAACTAATAGAAAACATGTTTGGCATACGTAAAATCTTGAAAACACGAAAAAATATGACACAAATATTGATTGGGTCATGGCAGCGCAACGTGCTTCGATTGTAGAATCACACGTTTTATTAGATTGTTCACAGCAAGTTACAGCGAAGTGTTCTACCCGTGTACGATCAATTTTGATGTTCCTAGTCAATTATTACAAGCAAACAATTTTGGCGCCTTCTTATCTCCATTTGCGCCCCTATTTAGGGGGGGGCATGGCTCCCCTGGCCCCCTCTGCCACCACGCCACTGGTGTCCATATAAAAGGACTGCGCATACCCAACTTGTCAAGCCACCCATCAAAATAACGGCTTGCGATTGGTTAGTATTCTTGGGATGCAAAACTGCCCACATGAAAAGCTAACCTCGCAGCAGGTTAGATAAACAGAATGACTGTAATGGCTGGGACGATGACATGAAAAATCACATGTTTCTAAAAACCCCTGCAGAGTCGCTTGCTATAGCTGGACACATTACCTTTGACTGGCTGAACTGGCTGAACTTCCAACGTTCGATTGTTTCAGAAACCAGGCTAGATTGAAAAGTTTGTAATTCAATTCAACTTCTGACCACGAGACGAAGAAGTGGGTAGTCAAAGTGCAGTTGTACCTATAGTACATATTTTGCCTCTAACCTTTGCATTTTATTTTATTTTTCAGTTCTTGTCTTTTAAACATTAGAAACATAAAAATACTTCACTTCACAAAATAATCATCAAGATAGAGTGAGATTGTTGAAAGTTACATCAAATGTAATTAAAAGTACAATATAAACTAGGGTATCAAAAGTATTGCATCACCTCGAAGGAGAAGAAATGGCGCATGAATGATCGAAAGCTATTGTTATGCAAATTAATTCTGTTTTTAAAAGGCCAACGGCAATTGGTCGAAAGCAAAACAACCACCAATCTAAACTTCAATCTATTTAGAGCATTTGTTTTAAAAATAACAGTAGAAAACGTCTTTTAACAGTTTCAAATTTCAATAATTTGACGGGTAGCCGCAAACTTATGAAACCGCAAAAAGCCTCCTTGAAATGGATCCATACATTTGGCCAACGAATACTTGTGGAATTTCGTATTAGGCCTGGAAACCTCTTATAATTAATGATTCTCTGGTCTTTGGACCACCATTTGGATCACGATTTGTAACCTTTTTCATTTGAAGTAAAACTTTTTAAGTGATGTTAAAAATTGGACTTTACTCTGACTTTGTCAAAGCTTTAATTTCTTTTGTTTGGAAATAATTCTTTGTAAATATAGTTTTCGTTTGCTCAAGTAAATTTTTCTTTTGTTTTTTTTCAAAACGCTCATTATATTTTCTGTGGACGGATTTTGAGCTATAAAACCTTGCCCAGTTTCGAGTTTCTTGTCTTTTACTGCCCCTGGGTGCAAACGCAGTGAAATAAAACCGACAAAGTCGTTCCCCTCTAACATCAATTTGTTTTTGGTCGCCCACTTCTCGGTTTCTCGGTTTTGCAAAAACAACAACTTTACCATAATACACGCACCAGATGCTAACTTTTTGGTCAATAAAAAAAAAAATTTTGGCTGGAGAGGCCCTTTAACATGAAATTTATTTTCTGTATACAAAATGGATCTATCTCGCGCGGAAAGACTATCTATCGTGAAATTCAGCTGCTTGTAAGACTAGTCTTCGAAAAACTACAAGTTGGCAAAACACCTTGCTCAGAGCTCCTTTTCTTTCCTCGTATTTTTTTAACGTGCATTTCTTCGATGCCTTCATCTTTTGATTAGAATATACACTGCCAGGAACAAACGCAGATTCGTAGCAGCCATGCTGGATTCATGCAAACAAGTGGCGGGGAGAAGAGCGCCCTTTCAAATCATAAGAAATCTCACTACTTTTACGATACTTATGACGCTTATGACATTATGAGAACAAAGGATTTTCAAATCTTACGATCCTTAAGACATTTTAACGATGGCGTTTTCATTTGGATTTTAAGAAACATAAGCGACACGGACTTAAAAATTATGTTTCTTGTGATCGATACGATCCTCATGACTTTAGTGAAAACCAGGCTTTACCACTCGGCAAATCTAGACCCTGGATAGCTAAGTTAGAGGAATATAATCATACCGTGTAAAACGTTCGAGGAAAGGACAATGTAAAAACCGATTTTTTGTCTCGTAACCCAGCTGCCAACCCAAATCACAGAATAGAAAGAAATATTTCTATTCTGTGCCCAAATCAACCAAACTCACTCTCCGACGACTAGGTTTTCGCTACAAATAGTGACAGTTCCGCTTTTGTTGACCAATTAAAACAGGAGCAAAGTACAGACCCTGTGATAAGTAAAACTAAAAGACTCATCGAAAATGGAGAAACTGTAGTTCAGGGTAGACTCAGTGACGTGTTAGAAATCAACTTCGGGTCGAGAATGACACTGTTACAAAATCCGCTCGACCTGTAGTGCCAGTCTCAGTAAGAAAATTCACAGTGACCGAGATACATCAAATGGCCCATCTCGTAACAGATAAAACATACTCGCTGCTTGAAGACAGATTTTTTTGGCCAAATATGTATGACTATGTACATAATTTTGTATCTCAGTGTCTGATTTGTCAACAGACTAAATGTGATTCGTCTCCGCCTAAAGCACCCTTACTCCCATGGCAATTCCTGAAGCACCAATGCAATTTATCGCAATTGATATCGCTTTTATGCCTAAGGATAATCACGGTTTTCAATATTTTCTCCCTATCGGTGACGTTTTCTCAAAATACATTGAAGCTGTACCACTTAAAGATCAGACGGCTCTTATTATTGCTAATACGTTGTTGTCACATTGGATCTATATCCATGGATCTCCATTTTTCATGCTCAGTGACGAAGGCTCTTTATGTTGATGGCACTACAATCAAACAGACTTGTAATATCTTAGGTACCGAAAAGCGGCGATCGTTGCAAGGCAAAGGGTTCGCTGAACGCAATACACGTAGTTTTAATGACATGTTACGATCCGTTCTACTGCA